GCTATTTATTGTGAGGGCTTCAAATTTGAATTTGATATTATGTCGGGAGTTTCTGGATTCCAAAACCTACTGTTTAGTATGACATTCCAACGTGAACGAGACAGATTTCTAATGCAGTGTTAGTATTGTGATGAATAAATCATGCCATTAGTGGCTGTGGTGTTTCAATGCCACAAGGTAAATGCTGGCCCATATAATTCTTCAAAATGATTCAACAATTCAATATTTTTCTCAGTCACATATGCTCATTGTCTTATCATAAGATGTGTCCACGCAAAGATGAAAGGAGACAGGGAGTATACAAACCAATCTTGTAGGAGAACTGATTTGGACAGATTCATGTGAGCTCACACTTTTTTTTAGAACCATAGAGCTAAGCAAACAACATTAAAAGCTTACTGTGGGTGTCATAAGAAGGACAAACTACACAACTACATCTCTCAATTTTCTTCTCTGAGCTTCAGTCCAAGCAATTTGAACTTACTTAGTGCAGTTTAATTCTCTCTAGTCGAGGAATCAAGATGTCAAGATGTCATCCCCCCTCCCATCAGATAAGCACATAAAAGAAAAACCCCAGTCTGATAATGTTGCTCTATGGCATCATTCTAGGGACAACCACTCCATGTATCACCATAGCAGCATATTGAGCAAACTTCATGAGGGGGAAACAAAGCATGAAGTTAACCAAATTCCTCATTTTGACAGAAATGCTCAGCACACACATAAGGTCTACATATTCTAGCTCAAAAACAATTACTCACCACCCAAGCTTTTTTGTCTCTGTGTGCTTTGTTGTTTTGACAAAAGAAGGGGAGCCCATTCATCACTATGAATGGAGAGAAACACTGGCAATTTCCACCTTCTGTACTTTGCCATATTTTATGACAGTTAGTGCTGCTGGGTATTTATTGGTGATTTGTGTTTTATGATTTATGGTTCTTGAAATGAGAGAGCAAACCTGCTCTGCGTACATAAATATTTACTTGTGGAAGAAGCAACTCAGTTGTCACTGCAAACAGTTCAGCAGCACATTTTAACCTCTATTTATCATCTGATCTTGCATTTATCACTGTTAAACAGTATTCAGGGGATTCTGAGTGATTGTGAAAAGTTTAGCAAAAGAAAAAAACTAAGTTTGTACAAAGTATTCATTTTCCTTCCAATTTTTACCCTTCAGCTAAGTTATGGTCTTGAGATACAGAATGGCTCATTGGGTCAGATGGTCTTCCTTCAACAGAGAGGCTGACAATCAAAACCATTCAACACTTTGAAGTAAGCCTATGTTGTGTCATTTGAACCATGTGAGCCTGATACCATATTAGTATAGTAAACGATATAGTACTAATGCTCTTCTTGGAGAGGGTGCTTGTTGAAGAGAGCTGCTGTGTGCAAGTGTGGGTAAGTGTGATCTTCAAAAAGGTTCTGGTACATGACATCCATAGGAATGCCATGATTAAGATTTTCGCCGTAAACATGGTCTTTTTTTTAACATGAACGATGCAATTTATTTTATTTTTATTTTGTTTTAATGTTTTGACTGATGAATTGAATGTGCAGCAAGTATAACTTATTGGGGTTTTTCTATTTTCCTTTTTTTAAATGAGAAACTAAAACATCATTTCAACCCAGGGTCTTCAACAGTTCCTTTGTGTTCAAAGGTTCTGGGCAGATTAACCAAATTATGTTAACTAAATCATGTTGCCCCACCCGTAACTGCTCATCAAGGCCTTATCACTGCCACACTGAGCATGCAGTAAAACCAGGAAGTCCTCCTCAGCTTTATCAACTCAAAATCTGTCCATATTACATGCTGTTGTGTGGCTTTTTCAGATTTCATTTGTCCCTTGGAGCATTATCGCTTAAAAAAAAACTGAGATTAAAGACTTGTTGCTCTTGTTTTTATGACTGCTGATGCCTTGATTATCTGCCTTCAGAGATCACAGTGCTCTCACACTTCAGAGCTGACAAACAAGTTATCATGCTTCAGTAACATCAGCTATTATACCATACACACCCATGAGAATGGCCATGTTTCATGCATCACTATGAAAAGATAAGGATTTTTTTGTTTCAACACTCTGTTTTCTTGTCACAGTCAAAGCAAACGTCTCATTCAGTAGTCCACATTCATCCACGCTTGTATCTCCTCAGTTGTCTTCCCTCCTCCACAAAAGAATCATCAGCGAATATGTTTATGTTTCACAGACATCATAAACTATTGAAAATATTTTTGCAACCAAGATTATATTACGCATTTCCCATTGCTTTAAAAAAAAGTATTCTAATTTGTTTTGTGTATTTTTCCCTGCGTGTGATTGAATTTCTCTCATCACTGACTTTGTTCATAATGGAACTATTATATCAGAAAACTCGGAACAAAATACCTTTACAGAGTCATGTCATGACCTCGAGCTCATCCCCTGTATCATAAAACTTTGAACTTGTATGCACTGAGAATTCTGGGAATTCCATAATGGACTCATGCCATGACTTATTCATTGGCCTCACAATAAGACCAGCACCTGAATTGGGGATACGTTAGACCTCATTCAGGAATCTGAGAATTCCTTTAGACTGTCTGTGACCATGTAAGATACATGAGTGGGTGACAGACTGTGTCATTGTTGTGCAAATTACGAGTGACCTCGTCTAAAGGTTCATGTCCTTGATTATTCTCTTTGATCATTTCAATCACTCAAATTTATAAGCACATTGTAGATTCATTATTAGATGCAAGCAGGAATAAAAGCAGATTTGATTCCTGTACCTTCTCTTTACCTTTTTTCTAATCACACAGGATTGTGATGACACGGGACAGTTTTCAGTATATTAGTTTCAAAGATATTTTCATTAATCGACTGTGTAGCCTGTTTACCACTCACAAACGTAATTTCTAAGGAATTACTGACATATTGACTCCACTGAGTATACCGAGAGATTCAGGCCAGATGAAAAGGGTTTTGCAAGCATGACCTATTTTGAAGGGTGACCTTGTTGCCATTGAAAATGATCATAACCCTTTATCTGTAAAGAAAAAAGTAAAAGTTACAAGAGTACGTTGATGTACACTTCAGACCCTAATGCTTTTACAATAGTCATCTTGTCATTGAAAGGTTGAGCTAATTAATGTACTCTGACCCATAGTACAGTATGTAACCGGAGAATTGTCCAGAATGAGAAGCACTATCAGAATAACATGCCTTCTTTTCTGCCTCATCTTGTTTATCTGCCTCACAAACTGAAGCTTCAATGACTTTAACACCTTTAACAACATGACAAACATCGCAGAATTGTATGAAAGACATGAAAGGCAAGATTTACAGGCTAGGATTGAATGCTCATAGGGAAGAAGTAACTAAAATTTTACCAAATAATCTACAGATTCCCTGTGTTTGTTGTGTGATAGAGAGACAACCTGTCCAGGAAGCATTTGGTATGGACAGCAAATAAATGATAAAGTCAGCAATCCAATGATATATGAGCTATAAGACCAATTCATGTTTTACCCAATGTGACGGCGTTTGACAATATTTACAATTGTTACAGTTGTTGACAGATACGAGGATCTACATGAAAGCCAGGAATAGACTTGAAAATTATTTTATTTAAGATTTATTCATCCACATAACATAATCCACTGCCAACCCAAGAATGTAAAAATAAAACAGATAAACAAAATTCCACGGAGAAATGAAACCTAGATGAGAACAAAAAATGTAGGATCAAAACAAGGACTGAAAAAAAAATGTGGAGTTTAAATACAGAAGAGGATCTTTTACTGTGAGGTGGCAGTTAAGGAGAGTTACATACAGTAGGTGAAGAGAGTGGAGCTGATGATCAGAACAGGATGGAAGTGAGGATCATTAGGATAATGTGAACCAATAAACCGGAACTGAGGAATGACAGAAGAAATCTGACCAAAGACTGGGCATGACAGAAACAACAGAAACAAATAAGTAGAACAAACCTAGGTAATAAATTATCAGCAGAGAGCCAATTTCAATTTCAATACCAAATCCATATTTCTTGATATCATAACTCGATTTTAATTTATTCAGACAAGCTTTTTAATCAAATTAACTAAATCCCTGGTTTCCTTCCTAATAGTTCATAGTTCAACCCATTGTTGGAGAAGCATCATTAAATCAAATTGAGGCTGGTAATTCCTAAAAAGATTATTGTTATTTGCTTAGATTAAGAATGGCTGATTGAGCCCTTATTAAAATAATATGATGAAAGGAAAAAGATTAATACCACAAATAATGAAATTGGAGAAATGGAGATAAGATCATTCAAACCAAAATGAAAGTCCTGGCATTTAAAAAAGAAAATTAAGAAAAGAATATGCGTACTGTATATTTCAACTGAATGTGGCCATAAAATGATGGTCAATCCTGTTATAAAATTTGCATATGAATGAATGTCTTCATCAAAAAGACCACACAGAGATTTTTTGCAGTGAATAACTTGATTCTTGGTCTCAATCCCTTCAAGGGATTTAGAACTTCTTACCGTCATCTGGCCCAGACTCGACAAATATATCCAACCCAACTTCCCTCTCATATATTCTTCCCTCTCTGACACAGCTCAGACACCTGATATAGCCAGTTCCCTTCGGTTAATGCTAGAACATGAAGCCATGATTTCATCACTCCATGAGGCATTAGGGTCAAACAACTGATTTATGCTGTGAAGACAGAGAAGACAGAGTTATTTGAATCATGTGGTCAAATGAAATCAGATACTGAAATAAAATCCTTTTTACAAAGACTTTTGTTTGATGTTTTTTCATGAGTGAGCACAGAACTACAGTCAGTGGGGACAGTGTTCTGGTCTCACGTGTGATTATAAAATTCTAGGCCTGTAGCCAAAACGATTACATAAAATGAAAAAAAGGAAAGACTTAATGATGAAATGCAATAGCTCTGACTTCAGTCAGATAAGTCTCAGATTGTCTATCAATCTTCCTTGGGTTCAAAGAAAAAAACAGAGACTCTCACCTTGCATCATCGTAGCAATAACGGGTTTGGCGTACAGTGCTCTGCGCGTCTCTGGGGAGCCGGAGTGCAGCAGAGAATCCAGGATTCCAGCCCACTCTTACGGGAGAGTTCCTATGAAGAGTAAGATAGCGCTGGGTGGGATTTGACCTTGGCTTTAACAAGGCCTCTTGGGTATGCTTGCAAGGCAGCTCACTTCTTTGTTATTTTTTTCACATAAAAACAGGCAGAGGGGCTGACTCTCATTGCTGTGGGACACATCAACAATTTGAGCAAGGATGGACCAAGATTAGAAAAATGGAGATGACGTCAAAGAGCGGAATGGATGAGTGACTAGTGTAGAATGCACAATTGATTTTTCAAAGTGCTGGATGTTCTCATCTTGTCAGTTGAATGAATGATTTCTAAAGGAATGCTAGACAACTTATTTGGCTGGCTTCCATTCCAGTTAATAGAATGTTTTGCATCCTGAAGTTTAAATAAACTTTCTTAAGTCTTCATTTGTTCTATGTGGTCAACTGCTCTATGCAACCTCTTCTGATTTTGTCTTTGCACATACACACGTATAAATATGAATATTAATATACGGTAAATGTGTGTCATAAGAGCTGACAAAGGAAAACCCTCACTGTGTATCTCATATGATGAGAGCAGCCAGTATAACCGAATAAAAAATCTGCGTGTCTGCCAATACTACCGTCCTACTTTGTCTAGGTGCAAATTATTGGAATTCTGATCACACATTTTATGCTCCAGTGTAAGCAGATGATGGCTGGTCCACACTGAAATCACTGGTTTGCATCTACTCTCTGTTGTATCGTTACATAAACATAAGTTCCTGCGGTGTAGAGCCGACAGGCTGGTCATGTTTTTGCTGAAACTAGAAAAACAGAGTCTGTTCCTGATTGGAATCTCTGATGATGCAACTGCAGACTGAAAATAAGCCCGGTGAAATGAAAAGCAAAACAAAAAAAAGCAAACAAAAGAACTGAATCAGGCCTTTTTGTCATCACTTGATACTTAATATTGTTTTCTAAAATATCATCTCTGATTTAATGTCTGAATCAAGAGTTTGCTGTGCTTGCACTATGGTTTTCTATTGTACTAAGTTATCATTTTCATAAACAAATTTCCAAAACATGTAACTTTAAAGTGATCAAACAAGTTTTTTTTCTCTTTGCTCTTAAACGTTGCATTGACTGCTTGTTCACGTCTGTATAGAAAAAAGAACTCACTCTTATTTATAACATGTTAAATTGGTGTAGGGTTACTTGAATGTAAGCTTTAGCTATCTCCGCCTTCAGACAGTGTTTTTTGATACCCACCCCCACTTATAACCCCTCTGACTTTCCTTATCCACCCATTCTTTTAGCTCTTTGGATACGTTCCCCTATGATTATAAATAGATTCTAATTAGCTCCTCCAGCCATGGGCAATAGAATTGTTCATCAAGTAGGGACTGCACTCAGAAGACATCATACATTAAAGCTTGTGCATAAGTCAGAGGAGTAGCAAATCCCCGCTGCTTCAATTTAATTTTTTTCTGCAGAGCAGGGATTAATTTTCCTATATTTTATCAGTTCAAATATAATTCTCCACAGCAATCAAGTCCCCTCGTGGTTAGAACGGACTATAAGGTCAACCAGACCAGAGGAGCGAAAGTCGCATAAACCCAGCAGAAAATGTGTTATGAAAAGGTCCCACTTACAGAGAAGTTCAGTTTTTCAGTTCCTCCACCGCCTTGCCAATGATCAAGTAATAATTGATAGATTTTGTCTTAATTGCTGGTTGTTATGGTTTGAAGCATTTCTGAACATTCATGCAGGCGTCTGAACATTCCCATTGATCTCTCTGAACAATGCCAGACCTACAGCTATCAATTCTCACAGCTTTTCACTTTGTTTAAATCTTGTTGAGACTTGACTTTTGAGATTGAGAAAAAGATATTCCTTCTCTTTCGTCCTTTCCACTTCCTTCACAGATCTGATGTAAAGGAAAATTAATTCGATGTGTTTTTCCTTATGGTTCTGTAATCAGGCAGAACTTACCATGCAGATTTGTTTCTGTAACATTTAAACCTTTTTTCTAATTGAAATGAAAGATTAAAAAACACAGCCTATCCCGGGGCCTTTTGAAACTTGTTTTACTCCCTGTGGTTTTCAGCGCTCAAACTGAGCTCTGCTCCCCGTTGAAGTTCTGAAGTCTATTTTGCATGACACAGACAATTATCTGGCCGTTCAGGAGAGCATTGTTGGCCGAATCCGACAATACCTGCCCTCCTGAAGACAAAGAGCTCAGCCAGAATCTGGTTTCATGTTTCTTCTCTCCTTTATTATATTATCATCTGCTTAGCTGGCAGCTGCCCTGTTTTTATGAAACTGCCTTTTGCCTCACCTTGAGCGCCATTGATATTACAACTCCTGCTCGAAATAAACAGGCGCATTGAAAACAGTAGTTGTTATCCTCCAATCTGAAAAAGTAATGGGCCTGTTTGTTTGTCCAGATGACACTGTCTGTTTGTTGTGCACGCCCTTCAATAATGATGTTCTTTTATACATTATTTACTTGTGAATTTGCCCTGCAATGCAAGACTGCTTACATTAAAGACAATTTCAGATTTGTGAATTCAAATCACCAGAAGGAAAACAGCAACCGGCAACAACAAGTAATTATTTAGGAGGAATAGCAAACCCACTGCAATTCAAGAGTTTACACCCACATGATGACTTGCAAGGCTAAGAAAGTGTGGGTCATTAGCCTCCAAAAAGCCTGTTTTATCTCACAGTCTCAGTATTCTCATGAAAATGAGTCCTCACTGCTGATAGCCAAAGGGCATCAATTAAGCTCAACAACGAGAAAAGATCTCCTTGAGCTTTTATCCATTCAGCATGTAATTAGACTTTGTTTTGCTGAACTTTCTGATTTTATTAAAACACAGTTGTCTGCTGATAATTATGCAAACCTACATGATATATTTGCATCGGATTACATTTTCTTTAAAGAGCAGCATCTTCATACAGATAGGAAAATCTCCCGCAGTATACCTGTACCTCAACCAGCAGAGGCTAACCTGTAGTCAGAGTACAAGGCCTTCAGTTCATCAGAGGCGGACAGAACAATCGACTCACTGACCATTGCAAACTGTCCATCAGCACTGCCCATCTACCTTAATTTCTAATGTTTTACACCAATGGACAGCGTTAACTCAAATCTGGCAAATTTATGATAGAGAACTAGAAGGAATATACAAGTTTGACAGAGAGATGGATAATATCGATGATAATAAAAGAAATGTTGGACCTGGAGAAAAGAGGCTGCATTTTTCATGCTGAATTGTAAACAGTTATCTGACTCATGCCTCCAGCCTGGTGCTAAATAGAGCCATGCTGCCCTCTGTCTGTTATATGAGCAATCATATCCAATACTGTCTATGAGCATTTCTGCAAATGTTCTTTAATGGGTTAGTGTTATTACATGAACTATATCAAATCTTACACTAAATAATGTCATGAACATGGCACGAGGAAGATTCCTCTCATGCAGTTACATGTGGCTCCATCCTCAAAATTAAAACAAGGTAGAAAACTTTGTAATATTTAAATGTATGTTTGTGTTCTGTCATTCATGTAAATGCTCTAAAATAAGAGAGACAGAGATATCTTTATCAGATTACTTTGCTATGTCGTAAAATCCTGGAAATACATGTGTGTAGATGGTGAAATGAATGTCTGCATATGGTTTATCTGCTACAGCCTCAACAACCTGTCATTGTCCATTCTCACTCTGGCATGACAGTGAAATCATGAAGAATTATAGTCCAAGAGATTTAAATTTTTATTTTGTTTGCATCAGCCTTTAACCGGTCATATAATTATTGAAAGGATGGACAGTTCTGATAAGAGGAAATACATCTGGTGTCTGGTTGCTCTGCCATGTGTGACATTACACATGTAGGAATCCGGCTCACAAGAGTTTTTTTACCTTTAAAAGGCAACGTCATTTGTTTTCAGGGTAATTAGGTCAATGCTGGTTAGTGGTGTAAACACACACCAGCTCAAAGGTCATAACTTAGAAAATGACACCGGTGAGTACAAAGGCACAAACTCAGGAGATGCTGCTGACCAGAAATCTGACCTTAAACACCTCAGTGTTCTGGTACACATGCGTTGCTATTTGAATATTTGTGGATTCTGACCTAATGAAAGAATGACATATTTATTTCACGTAATCAAATTAAATGGTAAAATATATCCTCAATAAAAAGCATCCCCCACAAAAATTCAGCTAACCCAACACAGTCATAGCTTTCTTCAGCTGTCATAGTTTTCTTTTGAGTGAAATATTCTGTGAAAAATTTAGTCTGCCATATAGCATGAAAAACACATTTAGCAGTCCCTCATTTGGATTTTTGTAAAGGACTAATAAACATACTTGTTCTTAGGTAACTGGAAATAAAGTTTCACCTGAGTAACTTGTGTCTTTCTCAGGGACCATGTTGGTCCTTTGAATTGCTATTCAGTATGTATTCTACGAGTATATTCCTTGTCTACATTTCCTCTATATTTTGTCTGGCATTGTCAATAAAGAGGCCATCAGAGATAATGTTTCTTTAACTGATATAAGCTTCAGTAACTTAAATAAAGAGGAAAAGCCCTCCTGATAAATATGTGGTGTAATGGTGCACACTGCCAAACAAACTGTATCTGAAGGTCCTCAGAGTTGATCACTGACTACTGTAGAGACCAAAGCTATACAGACTGTCTTTGCTTTCTTCTCATCATATGACCATACATTCATTAGGAGGTCTGCTGTATTTGTCCTCAGCTTTTCTGATCATTTTCAAAAACATCTTGTCTCGTTTTAACCAGCAGAGGGGGCTCGTAGTTTGAAAACATTTGCAAAGGATCACTATTTAAAGGAATATGGTCGTGTTTATTTACATGAATTTTTTTTTTCTGGGAACTGATCGACCAGCGACTAAAGCAAATTCTCGCAATATAGAAATCGACCAAAATACGGAAGCGCTCCATCCCATAATGTGTACAGTCGCTGAAAGCCGACCCCTGGGGACTTTTCAGAAAGTTAACCCCTGCATGTACAATTTGCAGGGTACCTTTACTGGATAAATAACACAACGCCGGTTGTGTAAGAGTGTGTCTGTGTGAGATTTAGAGAAAAGCAGGACGGTGCTGTTTGGGAGCAAACTGATGCCAGCTCGCTCGTGCTCTCGGGCGTCTGAAGTGACCACCGCACATCGTAGTTAAATAATCTCCCTGTTTCACGTTGCAATAAGGAAGTCTGGCGGATGTCGGATTCTCTGCTGCCAGCTTCGGTTGGGAAAGATTTGCATGAGCTCCAGTGTTCGCTGTTGACAATCCCCCTCCAATGAGGTAGAATCCAGTGTCCATCTTTTCTGTATTCCCAAGCCATTATTTTATTTACTAAATGCCCATATCCCTCCGCAGGGTCAGAGAGTATTTTGAAGAAATTGTAAAATGGTTTGCCATATATTTTATCAATCTTCGCATCAATGTATTGAAATACTTTACAGAATGTTAAAATGTCCCCTTTTTGATAAGTCACATTAATTGTAAGTATGTATCTGCTGTAGTTCTGCTTGGAGGGGCGGGTCTATTTTCTTAGGAGGCAAGGGGAGCTGTGCTTCGGTGCCACTTATCATTAGATATGGCCACCGTTATAGAGTACACCGAAGCGTCATCTTTAACTTGATTTTTTTATATTTCGTGGAAATATTGCTGCACGCTCAGTGTGGCAGACGGAATGTTATTATAAGCAAGCTGATGTTTGTTTTTACATGTCTTTTTAGCCGGTTTTTACTGCGTGGCAGGCTGGTTACGAGAGTCTCCTAACTGGCCGCTTGGTCCCGCAGCTTGTCGCAGCTGAAGAAAATAGAACCAGTTGCCAACCCAGCGATCGGCTCCCAACGTTTGCTCTGCGCGTCGCTGTAATTTCCCTTAGGATTCCAATCTAAAGTTTGGTTAACGAATAGCTGTTTTTTGCAGCCGCTTCTATTTCGGCATTGGTTATTTGGGTGTAAATGGTTAAATTGTTGGCTAGAGACTTGGGTGGCTAACACCAACTAGCTATATAACCCCAACTCGTGCGACGACAGCTGTCATTGGAGAAAGGAAAGTGATCCCCGCAAATGCGCTTGCCAGTGAAACGGTCTTCTGTTGGATTTACATCAACTGCTTTTCCATCAAATGGGCAAAGTTGGGAATAGCATTGCAGTGCTGGAATATCATGATATGAGCTGTGCATTTTTGAGAACTGCGGTGTTGTTTCATTGGAGAGAGGCTAGCTAGCTCCATTAGCTTGCTGGCTAGCTGGGTGATAAAAGTGCAACGTTTCATCCCCCATTATTTTGGGACATGAAGAGGATAATTCGCTGTCCATAGGACTGGAAGGTAAGATGCTGGCGGAACTTACTCTGTTTTCATTCAAACCAGATTTGTATGGAATTTGCCATTTCAAGGGAGACTGAGCCATCATTATCCTCCAGTCTGATGTTGGGGGTTTGTCACCGCCTTGGCTTTCATGACTCAGGCTATTCAACGGAACCGAACGTTAAATGAAACGCTTCATGGATGCTGTATAAGCTGAAAAAGAGGGTAAAACGATAAATTCTCCTCCACATTAGAATAATTCGCCAAAAGGTACTGCATTCAGTGAATGTTCGTTGTGAATAAAAAGTATAAGCCCAGCAGCACGTCGTTGTGTAACTCAGTATTTTCACTTTTTCTTCAGCATTGTAGTTCCTCCGAACAGTTCCGTTTCATTGAATAGACCGAGCCTTTGTGTGCTGGACAGGGATACTGGTGATTGCCCTACACTTGATTGAGAATTGATGATGTCGTTAAGGTTTATATGGTCAGAATCCACCAACCATTAAACATTATATTCGTCATTAACCAAAGGGCGACTAAAAGCCGAACCGTTAATATTGTTATTTTTTTGTAGGCGTTAGTTACAAGTACGATGAGTTGGCCAACTGACTGCTACCATTGGTAACCTGTTTGCTATCTGAGCCTCTTTCAAAGTTGTCTCTCTGCACCCCTTTCCAAACCGAACCAGATGACGAACAGACAGTGAAGTGGGACTTATAGACGCGTTTATCCCTGTTATTAATGTCGTAATAATTACACTATGACAATGTTACTTTTGTCCGTGGTCGCCGGAGAGAAGGCGACAAGAGTTCAACACAACACGCTAGCCATCGTTAGCTCTGTGCTTTTGCTTTGTGCCCAGGCTTGGGGTAACAAAAGCTAATGCTAGCATGTTTTCAGTGGTACCCCTGGTGGTCGAGATTGCCCAAAGGATTTGAACATCTCGTAATCTAACCTTCTGCTCACTGTCTGGTCGCTTTCATGGGAGCCTGCTCTGGTGTGTAATTCTGCTTATGAAATGGTCTTGCTATAACACGCTTCTTCTACATCCCTGCTGGCACTGATTTTCAGATCCCATGGCCACCTGTTTTTTATGCAAGGACTTCACCCCAGAGGAACTATTATTGGAAAAACTGTGTAAACATCTTAGATATTAATAAAACTGGTCTTTCATGCTTAGTTAGAGAATTAATGTCTATTTGTCTACAAACTCATGAGGCCAATATTGATAACAGGCTATTTATTGTTCCCATTATTAGCTGTTGCTTTACTAAGCAGCAGTGATTTATGGTAATTGGGCGGTACAATGATGTATATTGAATATAATACCTTTCCTAAAAAGGCAATTCCTTTTTTAGGTGACTTTTTTTAGTTTGGTCATGTTTATAAATCATTTCCATTACATTGGGTTGTGTCGTTAACGCTCACTCTTAGATCAAACTGATTACTTTCCTAATTCCGTACTAATGAGTTATTAAGAAAGTGTCATTTTTATAGCGCAGAATGCACTTCGATTCTCGTGTTTACTCGCAGAAAACCCTGTGGCACACATCTCTGAATACACATCACAGCACAGAGGGTGGGAGGAGGGGAGGCTAGAGACTACGTTTACATAGGTACATTAGCCTAGCTTTACTCTGAATAAGATGGTGTTACATCAGCAATATTTCCCCACTACATTAACTTGAGCGAGTTTACATTTGGAATAAGCAGTGAAGGGTCTTTGTAGAATGTTTTTTTTGTCTCATTTAGTCTATGGCTGTTTCTTAAACACATTTTGTTGTTGCAGAATCTCGTGACACGTCGCTGATGTAAAATGCGTCTTCACAGGGCTGGAGTTGCTGCTCCACCAATTTAAAAAGATGATTCTGAAAAACAGAATTACTTAATCTGATCTGGACCAGCTTTAGAAAGTCATGTTGCTTGTTTCTGACGCAATTTCTGGCAGCACTGGCTTTTAATTTAAAGAATTTGTACAATCGAGACCCTTTTTCGTGGGCAGAATCTTTTGAGTTGTCGAAAGGAACATATTGGGGAGGAAAATCATTAATCAAACTCTATCACAAATAAATGTGAAGCTCATAATAAGAAAATACATTTATAGATTAAGATTGAAATTGCAATAGTTCAACATTGACCTTTTATTGAATACGTTACAAGGAAAGAGGCCAACTGCTCAGTTGAATTTATTTAGAATATTATTTTAAACTTGTCTGTTTGGCTGGTTTGGTAAGTTTTTCTATACAGAATTCCAATTACTGTAGATGTCAGACAAAGTAAACCACGTCTGTATTTGTGGCCCCTCTTGCTCTTGAAAAGGATAATGAGTTTTGGAAAACTATGCCCTTACTATCTGTCCTTCAGTGTTTTCTTCCAGAATTACTTTGGACATATCAGGATGTGATGTGTGTGCCTGTGTGTGTGAAAACATAACTAAAACTATTAAAGATGGCATTCTAATATTACTGAATATTTCAGTCACTTTGGATGGCAACCTTGGTTTCAGTAGACAAATTAAAATCCTTGAGACAGCTCAGAGTGGGTTTTAGATTTTGCTAAACCTTCATAAAGATGTCACACATCACATTGTAATAAGACTGAATAAACCTACAAGCTTGTATTGCTATAGAGCATCGTTAACCCCTAAGATATTCACAGTACATATTCAGTATTTTAAGCCACATTCCTGGTGTGTTGAAACACCTGGAGTACATTAACTCCTTATTAGACAATTATGACATTACCTCTTACTGTTTGCTCATCAGGTTCTTGTTTACAGGCACATCAGATGTAAACCAGCATGGTCATAACATTATTGCTACATGTTCACATCATGTTTAATTTCTGGTCAAAATGTCACTTTTCCTCTTGCAAATGGATTGTTAGAGATTTCCGTTTAATTGTTTCAATGCTGGTATATCCAGTGTCGCCATTACTGAAAAGAACTGCTGGTCTCGCATGGACCAGTGCATCGGCCAGCCAGCTCCACTCACAGTTGGTCGGCCATGTTGTAATGTCGGATGTGGATGGATAACGAATGTTGTCCATATCTCAGTCCACCATTTTGTGGAATCCATGATTCAAAAAAGCTTTCTGTGGTAAAGGATTTGTTCTTTGACATCTGGTGTAGTTTTTAGTTTTTAGTTTTTTTGCATTTTAAGTGTCGTTCGGTTTTGACCTGCTAAATACGAGTTTAATATTTGGACAGTGCATGTTACCTGCTGATTGGGTTTCCTTAATCGCACTAGAGTATAGAAACCCAACATTGGGGTTAGTGAGAACGTGTACAAAACTTTACCAACGGTTCATATTAGTCTTTTAGAATAAACTGCCTCCACCCCACTCATCTTGTAGGGTCTGGAGTCACTCCTATGGTAGTCCACCTCATAACGGTCCTGATGCCTACAGTGTCTGATCAGAGCTGCTGCCATCCAGCGCTCCAAAGCTCAGAGTACAGCTCCTGTTTAGTATAAAAACACCATCCTCAACAAACGTTTACTTTACAAAGCCGACAGCTTGTAAAAAACTATGCACAGGACCACAGTCCATATCGTGAGAAATTCATAAATAATACATAAAAAACAAACAATATTAACAAAAATGTTTTCTTTTTATATCAAACAAAACACCATTAACGTTATTACTTTGCTAGAATTGGGTTTGGAGATGAATCTATGTGATCAAAAAGGCATATACTAACTAATGTTTGTAGCCCAAAGGTTACTAAGCCAGCATCATTTCTTGCATATATTGAACTAAAACCAGCACCAGTACCTCCACATATAAACACAAAACCATACAATAGATTCTTTCGAAGCCGTGAGGGTACACCAAATTGACGCCAAGAACAAACGGTGACGACAGAGGCCCTGCCGTGAGTCCTCATGTTTGCAGTGCTCAGGGGGGGATGGTTGCTCTTGAACCCACTGTATAGAGAGCCCACAGCTGCTGGTTCTGATGTACATAGTACGGGTGGACATGGGGTGCATTTGGCTGTGCAGAATGGAGAAGGAATCTATAAATTATTTCAGTAAGTTACACGTGTAAATATTTCTCTGTATAAATTCCAGTCATTTGCACAGTTTTGATCTAACATGGTCTTAGCATAGGTAATTGGTTGTTTTAGTTGTTTAGACCTTTAAGCCTGCGTTTTAATGTAGATGGATGATGTTTAAAATGTTTTAATTTTTTACACGCGTTATCCCTTGCGCACTGAAAAATAACAAGGTAAAAGGGGCACTGGCTCTCTGCAGAGGTCAGCGCCATGTTGGACAGTAGCATTTCATCCTCTTCTGACCTGACTGAGGTTCTGTAGGGTCTGATAGCTGATGGTGCCGGTTCCACAGCACAGAGAAAGAGGCTCTAGTCCTTCCTGAAAAGCCCTTTTGTAAAGATACTGAGATAAGTTCGGGGTACGTGAGGGTGCAGGAAGTTCCTCAATTTTAAAATGTACATTTTGAAGACGAATGAGTGGCCAGTCTAAATATCAGTAGAAAGCAAAGCCCCTAGCTGTTCTTATCACAGACACATGAAATCATGCCATCGTACGGTATTATCGAAGCATTTTACAATTAACAATTGTTGTGAACATCAGAGATGTCCATAACTTACTAAGTTTTTATTTATTTATTTAAATGTTTTAATTGATATGTTTATTTGTGGGCGCGAAATGTGAAACTCCCAATAATGTGAAACTGAGTGACATTGACAAGAGCACACTGATACTAAATGACATTCTAATGATACCAGTGTACTTGTGAACAAGAACAGCTTTCAAACATGTAGCTGTGAGTAAGAGATTTAGACTTAATGCTAAACCTCAGAGCTCCTTGGTAAACTTCATCCAGTGCATGTAAGCATTGCAAGGAAGGGTATACAGAAGATGGACACTCAATAGGGTGCCCCATGAAAAGTGATGAGAAATGGCAATGAGAAATTGCATACTAGAAATGTTTTAAAATCTTTTTGTTGGTTTTTGAATGAAAGTTTTTGCCTCACAACTTGCACCGAGCTTTTTAATATTGATGTATAGGTTAAAGTGAGTTATTGGAGTAGCAGTCCATCCTTTGGTTTTTGTTTGAAAATAACGTATGGTGTGTGGGGTTTGAAGTCGATCTACATCTGAGCCAGTAAATGAGGTAGTAACACAGGCGAAAAAGGTACGTGTTTGTAAAGGTAAGCGTGCATTGTGGAACTCACGAACCAACAACTGATTCTGCAGTGTTGGCTCCGTGTGTAAGAACACACAGTCATGTGGGGCTGATCTGCTCTGACACGTTAGAAGTTAGTCTCTAAGGAGCAACAGGTCAATGAAGACTTCTTATTTTCACTGAAAAGCTACAAATGATATATGAAACGAGTCAAACGTCAATGAATAATGGCGCCCCACACTATCAAATTGACCCCTGCGGTTCTCTTTTCAATAATTTGTTTCAGACTCCTCATAGGTTTTTAAAAATTCTTTTTGACATTATGTTTTAGTTTATTCATTGTAGCAACACACAAAAGCCAAGAAGCTGCAATCAACTATCATTCAAGCCACACTGGAATTGTTTGGGTTGCTTTTGAATTGCAGTCAGTTTAAGCTTGCGTTTTAATTTAATTGCTGATGGTTAAGGTTAAAGTTTAAGGTTAAACTTAGAAATAGAATAAATCTCTTGGAATATGGATTATTGTGAAGAATAAACATGTTCTAAAGATAGGGAGCACGACACTCAAACCTGTTTACAACCAATCGAGCATGTTAACAAGTCAGAAAGAAAAACTGTCCATCATAGCCCGATTTGTTTAGTTGCCTTCGTCAGGCAGTTAGATGTGTTTGAAATCTTTAAATCGTTCTGTTAAACGTACAGATCGTCTCAAAGTCAGTGTGTGTGTCGCTCTGCTCTAACAAAATCTTTTCTTTTTTTTTTGTCTTAAGGACTATTCTGAACTTTTGGAGATCCACAATAGTTTTCATTGTTTCAGTGGTGAAAGGATATGAAACACTAATGATGATGATCGAAGTCCAGTGTAAATTCTATTGTTGGCATCCATATAGAGCCATGTGCAAATCCATAAATTGTCCACAACTTAATAAACTGTGTTTTTGGAGTCTGATTCTCTTTATCAGATTTTAAAGACACATGTTGTAAAAAAAAAAAAAAAATCATAAAAAAGTGCAAGTGCAAGGATGCATGTATACAATTCTGCATGCTAGAAAATAATTACATTAATTGACCAAAAAGATCTTTCAGCCGCCGAAGATGGCGTGTCTCACAACACTTTTTCGGCCATGGAGACATTATAGAAAACTAATGGGCCTGACTAAAATATTTAAAAAATTAGAAATGAGAAAATAAGAAAAATAGTTTGAGTGCAAAGTTTATGTCATTGCCACATTATTATATTCTTGTTAAAGAAGAAGGCCACACTACACATCCAGAGACTGCAGAGCTGCTGTCGGTATTGTGTGTGGTGGGGACACCTTCATGCAGCTGATCAGACTCTGTTCATTGCAGGCTGATGTCCGTGGATGCTGTTGGTTGTTTGATACCATATCGATATATTTCTGCTGATGCTGCTGTAGGAGCTATGATTATTAAGTCTAGGGATCTCTAACTAAATTGTTAGTGTTCAAATTTTTTAATTCCTGCAACAGTTATTGTGTGTATTCAATATGGAGCTCTCCCAGCTCCTCGCAGATGTTCTTTGTTACATCCTTATGAAGGCAGATGCTGTCGGCACACCTTTTTCCAGGTTTTTAAGAAAATGTTGCCGTAGCCATTTGGTTAGCTGCTGAAGTATTTTTTTCTAAAACATTCCACCACACAGACTCTCCCGGACTTTCACTTTGACTCTGCGTCTTATTGGAGTTGACACTGTCTGGCTCAAGGTTACTTGGAAAGCAAGTCCTGGCCCCTAAACACAATGGAGGCCCACTAGAGCCCTGCCTCGGCCCTTGGACTGACAGCTGAGATGACGTTAGGCCCCGCATAGATTCCCTCGGCTACCTTGGCTGAATATTGTCATCTTCTTCAGTGACTAGCATTTAGTTGTCACACGTCGTAATGCAGCAGCTTATGTAAGCAGCAGTCCCAGTGTTAGCGGTTGAGCAGAGTAAATTGGTCACCTACCTGGGGAGGTATTGTTAAATGATGTGATTGTTGCTCTTATTAAGGAGCGACTGGATTCGGAGCGAGCCCGGATTCACCCCCACTGCTTCATTCACGCCTCTGCTCATATTGAGGGGGGGGTGAGACGGGTCATTGTTTAAAACGTGTGCCTCAGGACTTCATTGCTTTCTACATGGTGGAGCTTTTAAAGGCAAAACAGCATGATGGTGCGGTGTTTCTTTGCTTTTAAATAGCACCGGCCAGTTATCTTTGGTCAAATTGATAAACTGGTAAGAACAGTTTCAGTAGAAAGCTGCACTGCATCGTTAGATAAAGCCTCATGAAGATTGTACATTTAGTTGATTTTAGAAACCTCGTCTCTGCCTGGGATGCAGAGCTGTTCGATGGTCAGTTGGAGATGTTCCTGCTTGTTGGTATAATCCTCTTTGCATCGTATTTGAGGCAGTTTCCATATACGTCTTTTCAAATGCTGATAATGTTTAAACAGCTGGATATCACATTGAGCAGTATTCCGAACCTGTTCTGCTCTTCTCCATGCTTTGAATTCTTCCCAGATAATGCCCACTCAATCTGACTGCCTTTCAGAATGTCATCAGAGGACAAGACTCTGGAGCCCTCTGACCAGGGACCCTCACCGCCATCCAGCTGTGCAGGGGCCACATCCACAGGAAGCCCTGCCAACGCAGACAAGCGACCACGAGGCAGGCCGCGCAAGGATGCTGCTGCCATCGTCCTGCCCCATGCACCAACCCTGTCTACATCTAAGAACAGAAAGAAGTAAGCATTCGTATGAGTGGATGGGAAATTTCTTATACTTCCTGTGGTAGAATTAAAGATAGAATTGCTTTAGGCCTTATGTGGTTCTTAAGTGCCAGCTGTTTCAGTATGCCCTCCGTAAAACTCTTTTGACACTTAAAGTTATTCTTCTTTTAAAATATTCCCACTTCTGTAGAGTGAAAAGATGCGTAATATGGCATATAGTCAATGAGGCCATCGTGGTCACACGTTGTATTTGGTCAAGTCAATGCTCGATTCTCCCTTAGTGCCCTAAGACCAGAGGGACCCCCAATAAATGGCTAAAGTCAAACTCATGTAGCACCAGAACTCGATAACAGCTCAACGTTTGGCTGGATGTCATTTCTTGTTTATTCTTACTTGTAAAACTCTGGATGGCGTGGAGAAGAAACAAGCTTTAAAAATTCATTGCTGAAATCTGAAACTCTTCCCTTTTCTTCTCATCCACCCATGTTACAAATTAAACGCATATGAGCAGCAGGGTATTTTGACAACTATTGAAGTTAGGACTTCATTTTATGTAAGCAGTTTTTACCTGCCTGATTTCCAGTAATTCCAGTTATGAGGTGTCGTACCAACTGCCTGGCCTCCCTGACTCTCACAGCAGCATACAATGCTGCCTAGATCTGCTGTGTAAAATTATGCAAGGTTCTTAACTCTCTCCTTAGTCTGTCCTCTCAATCAATCTTAATACCCAGCTCCCAATGGATCGTTTAATCTGCAAACATTCAGACGGTGCGGTGCGTTAATTCCTCTGTGGAAGGATGACCTGGAACAGACTTGAATCGCTTGATCTTGATGAACTGGATACAAATAGAAATATTTTTTGTTGCATGTTTTTGTAATGGATGGCTCTGCCTTTCTTGAAAATATGTTTACACCCTTACTTATGTCAACATTAATTGACTTGGATTAAAAGCAAAAATCAACTGGGAGTTTGTATGAGAGTCTGGGAGTTTGTTTAAATCCTCAACCATTTCTCTCTCTCCAGACACAGATTTTTTTTTACCTTTAACAAATATGATAATAATTTCCTTAATTAGAATTGGCCACCAGAAACGCATATAAAGGGAGGGCTAGTCCAAAGTGTCAGATCTACCCGTCAGCCAACATTGTCCTGTGAAGAGTTGATTCGCTCTCTTAATTGGCAAACTGCTCAGGCCCATACTTATCAGGCAGACCGACATTAAGGTTAACCACCTGCCTCATCAGTAGCAGCATTAAACATGATTTAGTGTTGAAAGGCCCTTTTTCAATTTTTTTTTCTGTAGAACCGGTCGTTGGAAATGACTAGAATTGCATTTGTTCCTCTTGCTTGCCGCTCCAAGTCTGAGCAGCATGATCTGTGTCGGGTTTTCTGGGCAGCCCTCGGCTAACTGGGACTACTTACCACAGCATTATTTTCACCCTTTTTTCCCCTCTCCCTGTGGTGGGACTGTGGGGAGGGGGAGAGTTGTGCACGGTAAAGGGTTGAACAGTAGTTCTGAGCATTTGTCAGTGAAATAAATGGCCGTCTAAATGCTGAAACGTGATCTGAAAGAGGGGCTGCATACAGTTGTTGTAGCATGTTGTGAAGCAGACTATGTAAAGGTGTCGTCACCATCGGGCACATTGTCTGTACATGCATCGTGTTGTGAAAGACTGAAAGCTGGCCTTGAATTAGTTCGAATTGGGTTTAGGAATAGACATCTAAACTGTCTGTCTTGCTGCAGTATATTTTCAATTAATCATACTGTCAAGTGGAGTCGGTGCTTTATTAATGGCTTACATAGATTTTTTACACAGCCAGTGTCAAACCATCACCAGAACTGGGTTCCTCCTGTGTGATTCTTTTAGAGGCTTCCAGGTTAATTTAGTCTTTCTGCCTATTTGTTAAAAATGCATGTCCTGTTTTGTTGAGCCTTTGAAAATGTCCGATTGTAGACCTTTTTACAAAAACTCTCAAAACCCTCTCCGCTGTCTATTCAAGTGGCTGATCCTGAGGTATCGGCTAAATAATAAGCTACCAGCCTTTTCTGGTTTTGAACCGTCACTATTACTTTGTCAGCATTTTAAATGCATTACTGTTCCACTTCCAACACGGACCTCTTACGTGCTTGATGTATAGCTTGATATATGTAGAATTGTTCAAATATTGCTACTTAATGTAGACATAATTGTCACATCTGTTAAGTTTGGCACAGTGTGGTTGCTGAAATGTTTGTGAGCTCATATAAGTATGGTAATTCCAATCCTACAAGGTTCTTTGTCTACTAAAGATCACGGTTTTTGCCGAGTTTGTCTGTAAGATTCTAAGGTCGGGTTTGGTGGTTATTTATTTTTTTAGTTTTGTCTTGTTTGTTTTTGCAATATGTTTACCTAAGTATTTAGTGTGCTCTGTGTGACGTTTAAATACTATTTATTTTCCTTAAGATGTAATATCCCACTATACCAAGCTGTCCAATTGTTTATGAATAGGCTTGTAGACTCACGGGCCCATTGAGTGGTAAATGAAACATTTTTAACAGTCAGACATTTTGCAGTGAGGTTGTATCTGGTCCTTAGTCAGCTACCTGTTTGCTGTTGATGGCTGTCGTTGGATTCTTAAGTTGGAAAATCAGACAAAGCTCAAAACTCTCTCGAGCGGGACAGCCAGAAGTTGATTTTTCACCATCTCAAACTTCGAATCGGAATTTTGTAAATTATTTTTCCTCTATGGATTTAATTAAATATTTTTTTTGTTCGAAAGGCGAACTAATAAAGTGAAAAACCGATGCAAAAGTGTCCCTTTGAAAGGGAAGTTTTGAGGTTTGACTTATTTAGATGGAAAAAAATGTTTATGTGGTGGCCTCCTTTCTGTGAGGCTTTCAGCCATAGCCCACTTATACCACGTGTCAGCCAGAAATTAACTCTAAAAAAGCTGAGAGCCCTGTGCTGAAAAGGTCACACGGTAATAAAATGGGCACAGGAGCTGAAGGTTTTGGTCCATCTGCACGTCGGAGTGCCAGCTTGGACAGACGTACACATGGACACCTTTAACGGCAGAAATCTGTGTGATCTCAAACTTGAGCTAAACAGGCCCCTCGCCTCCCAGATTTTCAGGACAATGAACGTTGTTGTTTCTGTTAACCATAGTAAGATATACACATTTGGCTCAACCTCTTAGATAATTATGTTTTCAGCCAAGGTTTGCTAGAGGCTTCTGTCATTCATGTGTTTCAGGTTTGCTCCCAGTGGAAGTCATTTAAAGGGAGGAGTTGATTTGGCATGGAGCCATTTGTGATTTTTCTCTCCAGTGGCACTGAAAATTACTCCACCACCCCCAATCTCCTCCCTCACTTCCAGCCTGTGTATCCTCCTGAGTACCCCCATAGACACGTTGCTCTCATTTGGGCTGTGTTTGCTCTCTCCACTTAGCATGCTAACAGTTGATGCTGCTATTTAATTTGTATCCACGATAATTATCCTCTCAACACGCTGCTTCCAAAATTAGGTTACCCGAGCTCTCATTGGAGGATGCTGACAATGACGGAGCTTTCTACACTGTATGGGAAGGAGGGGGGTGGGTATTTGTGTGAGTTAGCATGCAGGCACATGGTTTAGTTATATGCTGACGAGGCACATTCAGTCATCCCTGTTGTAATCATCTTTTTGTTTTGGTGATTTTGAACACAACAAATCTTACTTGAATAGCATCAATTAAATTAGAGGAAATACCAATGTTGCACTTCAGAAAGGACATCTTGAAAGGTTGATCTAATGAGACATGTCGGGTAACTCGTGCAACCAAAGGATTCTCCCATGCAGGCAGTGGCGACGTCTTCCCGATTCTTTAGTTTTTTCATACATGTGAAAATGAGCCGTCACCCCCTCCTCTTATGAGGTCAGCTGCTTACTGACCAGACACAGGATGATGACAACCCCAGGAGCTCCGTCCTCCGCCTGTGTTGCTGTGACAACAGTGCGCTCTCATAAGTCCCTCCCTGTTCTCTCTCACCCACAGGACACGTGCGCGCGTGCAGCAGTGCGTCATAATGTACAGCATGACGACAGAGCTATAAGAAATCAGGGGGCATTTCCATACCACAGTCTAGTTGTGTCGCCTAAACAAAATGATAAGAAATTGCGTAGAAATGATCATTCTGGATCCCTGATAACTTTTTTTTAATTCATTTTTTTAAATTACATATCCAGATTTGCTTAATTCTTTTTTAGTTTTCCTTTCAGTGAACAATATTCTAAGTGTTGAACTGCATACATGCACTGTAATCAGACCCCCGCCCACCGCCACCACGTCCATCTTTCTTTCTCTAAGTCTTGAGTACCCTCATTAGAGTCACTTGCAGATGTGAATAAATGTAACTAATTCATGACCGCACTGCCACATTCCTGCTGAGGTGACCTCCATCCACTCCGTCTCTTCCTCACTTCAGGGGTCGCACTAGAGGGAAGGCTGTTTTGGATGAGGAGGACAGCATGGATGGGATGGAGATAGCAGAGTCCACTGACCCTCAGGATGCAGGTAAGACTCTGCTGCCGCGTTGGATCCGTTGTACACCGGTAATAGATTTCCTGCATGCACATCCGGGTAGCCTCGTTCAGCGGGCGCTTCAGAAGGCGTTCCAGTAAGAGTGATGGACGAGAGCCTTTTTTTCCCAGTACCTCACGCTGCAGGTTCAGGACAATAAGTGAAAGGGCTCAACTTGAACTGAACAGTGAAGCTACATTAGGTGTGTTTTTTTTCTTTCTTTCTTTCTTCTTTTTTTTTTTCTTTACTGCTTCATGTCTTTTCCTCTCAGATTGGCACGGAGGTGCAGTGGGAAAGAGCCCAAGGCTAATGCCCTCTAAAAGCTTTTTAAAATCCCATCAGTCTCTGTAGACCCATTTATGTGCTTTTTTTATGTGTACATCTCTTCATGTGACTATGCCTTCCATTCTGATACATCTCAGTATGCTGAAGATATTGGAAAATGTGAATCTGTTAGTAGTTCACCTTTCTTTACGATAAGTTTAGCTTAATCCAATAGTTTAATGTTCGGTTGTTGTTTTAAATGTCTTGTTCTAGCTTTGTGGCCCTAGGCTTTTCATATGTATTCAGTTCAGGCCAGCCTTATCAAAGTATTCCTTTTGTGGTATTTTGCTGTTTACAATTTGACATTCAAGAACCTCAGAGGGTCAGGCAAACTTAGTTCAGTTGATAAATCGCTTCCATCTTTGTGCATGGATACTGGGACATTGACTGGAGGAGACTAACTGATCGCTGTGCCTGCCACAGCAATGGTGTCTTCCAAAGGTTAGTTTGGCTAGTTTGAGTTGGTGGCCTTGAATTTTGCTTTGTATAATTCCACTGCAAGAATGGTTGCAGCCTTGGCCTGATTACGTTTAAGTAAAATCTATGAGTGAGGGGGTACTTGTGAAAGTTGTTCCACTTGAGGAACGTGTTGGCTACCATAGGTCTTATTACTTTGATTCGTCCGTCTGTGCTTTTAGTAGAGTGGAAAGGTCAAAATTGAAGATGTACGTCAGTGATTATAAACCTATTGAAAAACAATTTTTGCAAATTCAATCTGTTTTTTCTGCTGTTTTGTCTGACAGTTTGATATTCCCAGGGGATTTATTATTATTGGACTTTTAGCATAGGGTGCCAGTGGGACAAATCAATGCCCAGAATAAAGGTTTTGTTGTGACAGCTTTAACAACCTTCATGAAGAACAGCTAGAAGTACACGGGCCAAAACCAAATCAACTGCCACGCTTGATTATTTACTGGCTAACTAATCATTTTATTCATTGGTTCCATCAGAAGCACAAGCCCAACCTGTGGAGAGTGTGGAAGTGATGACCACTGAGGAGAAAGAAGAGGACAAGCCTTCTTCCCCTCTGGTTCAGAGTGCTCCAGCAGAGAGTTCAGCAGGACCATCTGTCCCAACAAGTCGAGAAATCAAAAGCAGGTCAGAGACGCAAAGCGTTCCCGGCTCCACAGTTGTTTTCAGGAGTGAAGAACCTTTAAATTGATCATGAAATTTTGTGCATGTATGCAGATGCATATTTCTGAACGCATGGTCTCGAGCTATTTTCTATCTCGCTAAAAATGCATGGATGGTTTCAGCAGAGGTCCTCAGGTGATAGATGCAGCACTCTCCTCCAGGTGCCACTTTATTGAAGGCTGTAATCAATCTCTGGATCCGTGCCTTTGATAGTAGTGATGGAGGACCTATCAGCAGCATCTCCTGGGACCGTATTTACTGCACTCTCATCACTCAGAGATGTGCTTCACATTCAAGAAGGCTTTATAATGTTGAATGTGGAATAGTTACTGGTCAGAAGAAACGCATGGGATTTTTCTTTTTGTTTGAAATTCACACTAAATAAAAGTAATCCAGCTCTAACAATGAAAGTTGCTTAAAAAAACTGTAACAAAATACTGCGGCTTAATGTGCATGAGAAACGGTTACCTACATAATGTCACGATTCCTCCATTTAATTTTTTGGGTTTAAAGCTGCTGGTCTGTGGTGAGAGTGCTTGCCAGTTGGCCTTACAAAAAAAAAAAAAAAACTCTCTGGGTTTCAGTGTATAGTACCACTCACAATCCCATTGCTAAAAGAGGAATGCCTTAATTCATGATGACATGCATGGCACTGTTTTTAGTCTCAATAGGTATATATAATTAAACACCCATTTTCTTTGTTTTAGTGAGCGTCTCTGTGCCTTCTGTTACTGTGGCGGCCGTAGCCTTCTGGGTCAGGGGGATCTGCTAGCATTCAACGGCACATCCCAGCATGAAGCACTCATCAGCCATAATGGTGAAGGAGGCTCAACAAGCGATAGCAGTGATGGTGACAAAATCACCCAGTCTGACATGGCTGGAGACACCACCTCAGGACAGAAGGAAAAGAAGTAAGTGTTACAAATCGTGGCTGTGTGCACAGGTGAGAGCCCGAAATACTCAGAGTTCTTATAGAGACCTACAAGAAATGGATATTTGACCATGGACTTGCTTCAGTTTTCTGTTTTTGGAAAGTTGTTCCAAGAGACCTTTTTTTTTCCCCCTAGGAAACAATCCTGAGGGGAAATAGCAGATTACCCCTTTAGTCTTCTCAATAAAAACAAGATTGGTACAGATTAGTGAAATTTCCCCAGTTTAAAAAAAGCCAGGATGTGTCCTCACCCTGTCTTCATCAGTCCTGCAGAGGGGAAAAGGTTCCTCAGGCTGTTAAATGCTGAGTGGGATCTCGCTGCAGAGTTTGAGCTGCACGTTTGTGGTGCAGTCGTCATTCCCCAAAATCTGGAAAATGCTTTGTTATGTTGAGAACTGGTATGTTCAAGGAATTTGAAAGAGTTGAAATGTTCCTAAACAATTTCTGTAATTATTTTGTTGACAAAGACTTCACTGTCTGCCAGAAAGTTAAATGAACAACCCAGAAAACAGGCTTACCAAACATTGGTCCGACAGCCGGCGCCTACATGCTTGTCAGTTGCTGCATGACAACATATCATCATTATAAACCCAATTCATATATTAACCACCCTCCTCTGAAAATATGTGCCACGTGCAGATTGGACTTTGGTAGAGAAAGACTGTAGTTACTCCGCCCTTCACTAATGAGCGCAGCGCCTGCTGATTCACATGTTAAGTTTGAGAAAAGATGGATATATGAAGGCAGGGGGGTGTTGGATGAGGAGTTGGATCTGTCAGGGTGTCCAGTAGAAAAATGTGTAACTGTTCCAAGGAGTTGACTGTCTTTTCTTGAATGGAACAATGAGCCGTCATAGCTGGATGTTGTAAGTGTAACATTAAAACAAAGACAGTGATTTAACCTGTTGGTTTATTCGCTGAAGGGCAGGTTTCTTTTGACCTGCCGGTGCATCCTCTGCTTTTTGTCGGTGCGAGTGTGCTGTGCTGCTGCTCAAGCCTGATATTCAGAGAGATGCATCCTTTTCAACAGATTCTGTGAAACAGAGCAGCAAGCCTCTTGTGCACCCACCAAACAAGATGGTGCCTTTCCTATTCTTCTACTTCTTCCCCTCCCCCCACCTTCTTCTTTACTTAACCAAAACCTCCACATGGCTCTCAGCTTGTGCGGTCCTGTCCTCTGTTCTTCTATTAATTTGTTTTCTTTGTCTTTGTTCCAGTGGATCTGAAACCTGCCAGGAACCAGACCCAACCAGTCGCTTTTGGGATGAGCTTTCTCACGTCGGACTTCCACAAGATGTTAAAGTCCAGTCTCTCTTTGAGTCAGGTAGAACTAAAGAATTAATTTATTTAATTATTTCAATCTTTCTTTTTTTTCCTCATTTCGTGAAGACTTCATTCTCAAATTTTCCATGCTGGATGTGGCTCGTGTATCTTTGATGACATTTTCCCGTTATGACTTGATATTTCAGGGCAATGTTGGGCACATCAGAGTTGTGCCTTGTGGTCCGAGGGTGTTTGTGAGGGCGAGGGACAATCTCTGCTTAATGTGGACAGAGCCATTGACTCAGGGAGCACAAAGGTGAGTCAAAAGAAAACCCCAGCGGGCGTTAACGCCACCTTGACATGTTTGGGTGGGGGCGGGGGCTGCTTTGAGAGGCGCAGAAAAGCTGAGAGATCAGCCTAACTTGTAAAGGTCGGCCAGCCAGTGTTGGTCTCTCAGCTGTGAAATGGAAAAGGTCATGCCACTCAAAGGGGCTGAGCTCTCGTGGCAGCCCGGCCCTTCGCCGTAGCGTTGGGCTGCCCACAGCTTTCTGAGAATGTCTGCAGCCCGTCGGTCATGTGGCCGAATGGTAGTACTGCCACTTGAAGTGAGAGAAATGGGTGGATACCGTTATGCTGGTATGGTCATTACATGCTGAAGCTAAACTGGGGTCTTGTTTCTGAGACATTAAAAAATTATGGCTGTTTTTATTAAACGGCGTGGGTCAGCTGTCAACACGTTTCAAATTATTTATGATGTTTTCACTGATTTCTATTTTCTTCTTCCACAAACAGCGATTTAGAAATGTCATGTGATCTTTCATTCTGCAGCACTGTGCATACTGTAAGCGCCTTGGAGCATCCATTAAGTGCTGTGCTGAAGGATGTGCTCAACTCTACCATTACCCCTGTGCGGGGGCAGCTGGGACCTTTCAGGATATCAGGAGTCTCTCTCTCCTCTGCCCAGAACATACTGAATTGGCGATTCATAAATGTAAGTTTAATTGAATTTTCCTGAGTGAAATTCTGGAGTTGTATGGTATCATTGCACATGTTCTAACTTAAGGATTTCTCATTTCCTGCCCACAGTTGTAGATGATGTAAACTGCGTGCTATGTGATAGCCCAGGGGACCTACCAGACCAACTCTTCTGCACCAGTTGTGGTCTGCATTACCATGGGATGTGCCTGGACATGGCGGTGACCCCTCTAAGGAGGGCAGGTTGGCAGTGCCCCGAGTGCAAAGTCTGCCAGACATGCAAGTGAGTCAGTTTGGCCACCCACCTAAATAAATCGCATTACACTGCACGATTTTTCTCCTCTCACCGTAGTCTCTCACTCTTCATCCTACATCGTTCCTGCATCGCTGCGGGGCATCATGCTCACTGCCTGTTTGTTTACCTCTGTGCTCTGTGAGGAGCTAACTGGAAGATGGTCCCTGAAGCTCCATGGTGTAACCTCTGACCTTTTATTAAAAAAGCGCAGCATCTCTGTCATACCTAAGGCTAATGGGCCTGGTTGCTCACACCATCCACTTAGCTTTAAGCCCTGTATTTGCATAAACCCCAGTGCTATGTTGCTGCTGGGTATGGTGTTTTTTTGCACATGAGCAAGGTTTTGTCATGTGTTGAGTTGGGTTTGTGATAGCAATGTGCCCTCTATATTTGACATAGTTTAACATTTTGAGTCACAGATGAGCACTGCATAGACTTTATTTGCTCTAAGGTACCTCAGACGACTCTTTACAGGCCTGGATTCTATATCAAAGAACTGTGACCCCCCCTCCCCATTCAATTGTGACCAATTTCCATCCATATTTTTGGTTGATTGGTTTACCGGCTGGTTGTCTGTACCAAGGACCTCAACTCTGCTAACAATTTGGATGTGCTGCTTTTTGTCCCCTCACTAGATGCGGACCTCTGTGATGCACTGCACAAAAACCCATCTGTTACAGTGAATACACAGGATATGAAAGACCCCCCTCTTGTTTCATTGCACATAACCTTCTCCTTTTTTTCATAGGAACCCAGGAGAGGACACTAAAATGCTGGTGTGTGACATGTGTGACAAAGGGTATCATACATTCTGTCTGCAACCTGCTATTGACTCTCTACCCACCAACGGATGGAGATGTAAGGTAGGAAAGATCCCATAATGTAAGGTTTGCTGTAAGAACAATTTATTTGGTTGAAGGAGTAACTTATTGTGGCGGATCCCAGATGAGTTTGCAGCAAATTAATAAAGAACATTTTTTAAAAAGGTCCCATGCCTTTTCCACCCATATTGTACACGTACAGTATTATTTATTTGGAAAGAAACTAAGGATAAGAAGGGGCACTGGCACAGGATAATATGTCTACCACCCAAGAGAATGACATTCATGTAGCTTGCCTTGTGTGTTCCGTGGTTAAGAAATGAGTCACAGTAGCAGATCTTTAAAAGTTTCATTTCAGCCTGAACACCAAAAGGTAATGCGTGTGTGCCCGGGCTGCACGGTGATGTGGCGGTTCGCCCCTTTAGTTTGCACGTTCTCAGCATGTATGCATGGGTTCTCCCTGGTTGCTTTGGCTCCCTCCGATCATCCAAAAGAATGCATGTTATATTAATTGCTCACTCTGACCTGCGGAGTGAGTGCGAGCGCTTCTGGTTGTACTCAGCTTCTCGTCTAATGACTGCTGGAACAGGCTCCAGACCCCACACGACCATGAATTGGGTTAAGTGAGCATAGAATATGGATGTTTTATTCGTTACTCGGCTGGCTGGTGAACGCACCACCTGTTTTTAATGCAGCTGTTGGACCGAGTCATAAAGTAAGAGGTCGCTGGTGATGTAAAGTCTTTACAGTGTGCCCTTTATGACTCAGCACAGAGATGTAAACCACACACGTCGCTGGGTGCCTGTGCGCAGCTTGTGTCCCCACGCCTGGAAATGTTGTTGCGTGTCATGTCTCCATATAGACAAATACAACAAATTGTCGTTCTGGTTTCGGTGATTCACATCATTCTTTTTATGCTTTTATGTTGAAAAACAACCAGCACAGGGTTAGAATAAAAACCTTACAGGAGCTAAAGGTATATTTGGTTAAATAAGAATGCTTGGAACAGGTTCAGTCCAGAGTGTACTGTGTAGTATTGCAGGCTAAACTAAAAACGCTTAAACATAAATTCTGATAATGTTGGACATTTTGTATTGACGCTATGATGTAAAGAACGTGATCACGCATCATTAAGTTGCACAGTATAACCTACGTGTTTCCAAGACAGCATTTTAATTTCTCAAATTGTTTAAAATGATCAGTATTTTGATGTTGGCGATTAGAGCAAATCTGTCTCAATGTGACATTTCATTTATTGACGGTCAGTTAACATGATTATTCTGATCATCCACGTGCCATGTAACTTTTGTCCTCAGAACTGCAGAGTGTGCATACAATGTGGAACGCGGACCAGCAGCCACTGGCACCACACCAGCCTGCTCTGTGAGGACTGCGTCCAAAACCAGGACCCTTCTCTGTGCTGTGCTATGTGTTCTTGCATCCTGGATCCCGAGCATCATAAAGACTTACTATTCTGCCAAACTTGTAAAAGGTAAGGTGCACGTACTGTTTTTGTTCTTGTCATTTCTCTTCTGGGAAGAGTGTGAGGCGGGGGGGTGGGGGGGGGACGAAGAGTTGAATAAATCAAATTTTGCACGTGAAGATATGCCTGTTGGGTAATCTCTTCAATGTCCGTGCTCTGCTTTCAGATGGCTTCACCTGGAGTGCGAGCGTCAGAACTCAGGCCAAGCAGAAGTCCACCCCAGAGAGGACTACGTCTGTTCCAACTGCAGGCCTCCTGCAGAGCAGACACTACAAGCAGAGGATATGGACATTGGCCCAGAGCTCAGCCCTCAGCCAGCCCCCATGCACACAGACTCTGAGACTGACATACAGCTGGCTGAAAAGCACACAAACCCAGAACCTGGCATGCTCCTGCCCCCCGAAATGCACAATAACCCCAAACCGGAATTACTTGCTGTTCCACTGCACGTTGATCCAGAGCCTGCACAGGCTACCGTCCAGGAGGAGATGTTGGCCACATCAGACCACAAGCCTGGTGGGTCGTCCATTCATATTATTCTAAAGTATATTATCCTTATCTACCTCTTCTCTATAATCCGTCCTATGGATGAAGAGTTTAGTTTTTATTGACATGTAAAGAGAAGCAAGAGGAAATTCACTACTTGGATTTTTATAAAATCATTCACGTTTCATACACCAACCGCCAGGTTAAATGATTGCAATTGAGACCATACAAAGTTTTGTTTTTTTGGATGGTGCTGATGAAGTTTTGTGGGTTTTGGGCAGTCAATGAGGTAAGAGCCCTGTGTGGAAAAGATCACCTAGGGACTCCCAAATCACTGGATTTTTGTCCTACTTGCAGCAGATTAAAGCAACACGTATGTCTTTCGTATTCTGAGGGTCTTTTGGGTGCATTATTTATCAGTAGTGTCCCATGTGATGGTGGTTATGTACTGCCTGTGGGTTTGAATGAAGAATTGATCACCAGCTTTACTTCTGAGAGCACTCATCTTAGTGTAAGTGCATATCAAAAGTTAAACAGTACAACTACTAGTAGAATTTAAGGAAGAGATTATCAGTGTTACTGTCTCCTTTTATTTAACTGGCCAATAGATGTGTTTTATGGCTACCTCCATCTGGTCTCAGGCTGATGAACAGTAACACTCAAGTACATTTTAGTTACACGTTTAGCTGAACAGTGGAATGGTTTTAAGAGAATGTTTAGGGGGGGTTTCTTTAATTATTTGCTTGAGTGTCGAAATTTGTGGTGTATTTTTTTGTAAATTGGAATAATCATGGATACTTGAGACTCTTGTGATCAGGGCACCTTTGAGGGCACTGTGAAGGAGAAGCAAGGGTCCTTTAGTTAACCCTGTGTTCAGTCTGTGTGTGTGTGCTGTTTCTGCTGGTCACATTTCTGTATTTATTCAGTTTTTTGGTGCAAGCTTGATCAGCACTTGGCATTTCACCATACTTGATTAAGGAACTGGACTTCATATGAAATCTGGGCCATACGATGTCTGCCAACTACAGTTGAATATCAAGTAAAAGTCCAGTAATCTGGGGCTGCCAGTGGAAGCTCCACTGCTCTCTTTTCACTAGGCACCAGACTCCAGACTGAATGCAGAAAGAGCCATGATGAGGATTATGTCACTGATCCCATATCTGCTAACCTGCCTCAGAGCAATTCTTACTCATACATTATTGCTCACTATGTACACATATAGTCATTTTACAGAAGTTCTTTGGTGGTCATTCTCACTCATCATTTGATTTTGCATGCACAGTAATGCTTTTTTTGTCTTGCTTTTTTAATATAAACATGTATTTTTAACTTTTAACTTCAAAGTATTTCCCCAAAAGGGGAAATCTGGGCCCACTCTTCCTGTTGATTACCAACAGCCTCTTTGAGCTTAACTCACAGATGATGTTTAAAATGATTCTACAAGTATCTTAACAATAAGTCAAATATACGCCTGTTCTGATTGGAGAGCTGATACTGTTGGTGGTCACTCTGGCATTGTACAGTTTACGTTATAGGTTGTTTTTTTTAACACCAAAAACAGTTGACAACAGCCCCTCTTTTCACAAATGAGTGTGATAACCTGGTGCTCTTCCTTTTTGGAAGTGTACCAAACCGTTGCAGCTCAGCACACGTTCACACAAGCCAACATCCTCGAATCAACAGAGAAAAGCCTTTGCTAAAATGTATGCGGTGTCCTATGTATCAAGTCAATGATACAAGCTTTTTCTTTGTCAGTCCAGAGAAGACTTTGAAAGTCGTGCATCGCAATCAGTCTGCATAGAAGACAAGCAACGCCTTCGTTTTGTGTCAGTTCGATTTTGTATCGTAGTCACATCACACAGTCTTCTCATTAGGAAAGATAATGCTAATTTTCCAGCAGCTTCTTCTGCTTTTGGAATTGGTGGGATTTACACCAACTACTTCTGCTGTACCTTGTGTGAGTTTGTTCACGGCAGACAGCTAGAGTTGAGTCTCATTTGTGGTAGAAACTGGTTAGTCATCTCTTCGTAATGAGCAATTAGCTGTTGATTATATTTCTGGACTGCGCCTTTTAGATGTGTGTTTACATATTCATTTGATACATTTTTCGCTTTTCATGTTTTACATTGAGCACCACACCAGACCTGCAGTGTTCCTTTTTGTTCTTCTTTTTTGTGGGTGCCACATATCTTGAACTCGTTGAAATGAAACTGCTCCATTTTCAATTAACCATTTGAAGTTTAATTGTTGCACCTCTTAAATATGCAAGTGGAATGTATTTGATAATTCACTTACTCCTTATTCCAAATTTGCGAGATAATGATAATGGCTCTGCTACCACCACACCGCACATGTAATGCAATTAAAGTTCTTAGTCAAAGCTTTTCATCTCTTGCCAGGATGCACAACCACTCGGGGTTTAACTGAAGGCTTATAGCTGCTCAGCTGACAGAGGAAGTTAAATGCACACTGTGGGTGAAGGTTAGAGCTGATTTTAGGTGTTTGTTTCTGCCTAAGCTGTTTCTTAATCTAGGAGACATCCTCCTTCCATGTTGGGGGTGTAGGAAGCGGGGCGCTCATGTAAGTGTGAGTGCGTGCTCAGTTCGGTCAATGGCTGATGGCAAGAGATGGTCGCAGGCCGATCTCCCTAATTGACTTTCTGGCGTGTGCACCGGATGAGCACCTGCAAGCTGCACAGTCATGAGCCCAGAGCACACAGTCCCTGGGATGTTGGTTGTCATGGTTACTCCCTTCCCTGGCAAAGATGCCTTGCAGGTGCATGTGTGTGTCAGGATCAGAGTGACATGGGAAGTTGTGGATTGAAATGGTGGGTGCCTCCTTAAGACTAGGCTGTCTGTACTGTCAGAGGCTGTCTTGCAGAATGTCGGCTCTATGTGTTGATTCCTAAATGCCAGGGATGACTGGTGCTATTCATACCGGTCAAGTTAAATCCATGGAAGTCTGTGATACGGAACCAAATGGGGGAGAGGGGACACTGGAAAATGATTTTACTTCCCTCGAATGCCATCCTTTATGCAGCTGCAGTTGCTTTTATTGTCCTATAAGGAGACATTCGCTTTCACTACCTTGTCTGTCAATTTTTGTTTAAAAAAAAAAAAACCCTCATGTATTCATTGTTGCTTTTAATTTATTTTGTTTTAGATGCCCTGGGGGAAGCTGACACAGAGGAGGCAAAAGTTACTGAACCCTCTATCAGCAAAGGTCCAGCAGAATTCATACCAGGTGTGTACGTGAGGCCCATTAATGAGTTATGTGTGGATATGTTGGGTCTGCGTTGATGTACACAAATGTAACTGATCTTTATATTTATGCTCACTGTTTATTTATACAGTTCAAGTGCATAAGAATGTGTAGCGATGTATGAAGATCTGGATTTCCGCCATAAATCTAGATTTGTCCCGTTTCTGTCTTTAAATACAATGTATGATTCCAAAAAGATATTATTATTATAACAATGTGTTGCTGTTTTTGTCTTTTTTTCACCACTCTCTCAGAATCAAAGCCAGCAGCTCCACCCGAGCTCACATCCACAGAAAGTCCTGCGTCCTCTACGACTCAGAGCCAAGAATCCTTTCCAGCCCAACAGGCACAGGATACCACTTTGCAGGTCAAACCAGCAAATACAGAAGCCTGCCCCGAACAGGGCAAGGTCAGCCACAGCACAACGGATTTAAAGGCCATCGTCTCAACCACCAAAGAACCAAGTACTCCATCAATACCTTTCATGGACCAACCAGCAGAAGTCGCACTACCCCAGCCTTCAAGTGTGGATGTAGGTGGGCTGTCCTTATTGGAAACGGCTCCAAAAGAGCTGAAAACGGAGAGGAATGAGGGCTTATTTCATATTACGCTGGCAGACACTGTTATGCCCAACGCCTCCGACACATCAAAAGAGATGGACATTACTCTGGACATCAAGCCCAGTCTGTCATTTCCAAGCTTTTCTTCTGAGGAGAAGCCCTTCAAAACATCTGTGGAAAGATTGTCGGAGATGGTTTCCTCTCCCTCCCACTCATCGGCTGGGATCCGAGGGACAGCGCTCAGAGAGCCGCCGCCCCAGACCCACATCCTACCGTTACAGGGCGACCATAGCAGCGTAATGCCCACAACCACCCTTGTTCCTTTCACGCCGAAGATCGGTATGGGAAAACCAGCCATCACCAAGAGGAAATTTTCCCCGGGGAGGCCACGAGTGAAACAGGTACGAACCGGATCTGCACCTCATAGAGTTGTACTGGCAGCATCTGGCTCCTTCGCTGTCCAAACCCAAGAGGAAAGCTTTACTTTGTACTGTTGGGTACTTGGTGCTGGGTAACTTGTTTAAAGTGTGTGTGTATGTGTGTGTGGCTGTGTGTCTGTCTCATGGGCTTTACAGTATGAAGTTTCGCATTTTTTGTGGCAGTGAGATGTTGGAAGCGGCTTGTATGTCTCTGGATGTATTTTTCAGTTCTGAAGCATATCCAGTGTTGGCCTCTCAAAAGGTCCCTGCTCTCTTTTGACATGTTTTTCTACAATATGAGTTGTGTGTCATTGTCTTTATGCGTGTTCCTTTCAGCATTTATTTTTTCAAGTTGGAACCCTTTGGAATTCCTTCATTTATTCATTGAATTCCCTAAGCTCAAACCCTCTTATCTGATGGCCCTTGCTGCATAGCGCCTCAAGCATTCTCATCAGTCCCTCATACCACCCCATGCCACAAACCCCATGTCACGCTTTTGACCTGTTGGAAATAAGCATCCATTAAGTCACACATAACAGCACCATGTCCATATCCTAGTACTGTCCATGTTATTATGAGAATGGCAAGTAGCTGGTTGTGGCTGTTAAGCTTAGTCTCCTCAGTGTATTGTGACTGCCATGCAAACTGAAGGTCTCTCAGGAAAGGGATGACGGGACCTAAAACACACCCCTAGCTATGCTGTATTAGAAATGATGCCACTGAGGACAAACTAGTTGAAAATATTTTTGTCCAATGTCATCTCCCATCCCTTTGAATTAAAAGTATTGAGCTCAAGCTGAATCGAAAGAAATCTCTACTGAAAGTGTAAACTTTGTCTCTCTTGTGTCTTGCTGTGCTGATACTGCTCGTCCTTTCTTCAGCATGTCCAATAACACCATTGCCAGGCCAAAACATAACAAATCCCCCCACCCTTTCTTCAGATGGGCTGTGCTATCTTCAGAAAAATCTATTTCTTTCAGTGACACTAACAAATGTAAGACACCAGTAAGAAGAGCCCATTGGAAAGTTGCTGTTTTCAACCAGCTGCATGAATGTTTTAGCTTCACCACAGACTGTACCCAAATAACAGGTCCATGCTTCGGCACATCAGATATGTCCTGCTTCTATGTGTTTACATTAAGCGACTCCCCAAAAGTTACATTAGAAACTCACTACATTTCTCTAACATCTTTTTTTTTTTTTTTTTTTTTTTTTTTTTTTTTTTTTTTTTTCCGTATGTTTTGTTTCTTTGCTGGCTTTGGTTTTAAGTTGCTGCATTTTGTCGCCCTCCTCCCTCCCTCTCTGTCACTCTCTCACCCATCCCTCCTTACCTTAGGGTGCATGGAGCCCCCATAGCAGTGTGAGCTCACCCTTGTCCTGGTCACCAGACCAGCAAGAGGGGTGGGACCCAAAGACCAGGCAGTCCTCTGGCAGTCCCGGGTGGAGCATCAGAGTGGTAAATACTGTGGTTCACCAGAGATGGCTGGCAGCAGCTGCCCCCTCTGTCCTCACTATTGTGACGCACACTCCATGAGTGTTCTTGACTGTCACTGATTATACTTTAGCCATCACCAAAAATGACCACGACACGGTATTGAAAGGAAGAGCCAGAAACCGATGCTTAAGCTAATGGCTTGGTGAAGGGGGGATATATTTGACTCGGTGAAATACAGTGTTATTTCACTGTGTCAAATGCACTGTGTAAAGGTCTCATTCAAAACTGTGTATTTGTCGAGCTACATTTTGTTACATAAAATTGTCTGTAAACAGGTCGTTGGCAGATTGTTAATAGCCTTTACTTAAAGAAAAAACAAAACACGGTGATGGTTATACTTAAGAGTACAATGATAGTGTTTAACTTGCCAACTGTTTCTTGTTCTTCATGCGGCCTCCGTTTAGAATTGGGGACAAATGTGGGCAAAGTATACTGAGATTTTGCGTACGTTTAGGAAGGCTCAGACAGACACGTATTTGGCAGTCGTGATTAGGTTGAAGGCTCTCTTGGAAATGTGCCAAAGATTCAGTGAAATGTGAACTGGTGTGGACCTTTTTCATTTTAATTAATGCCTCAGTGGATGGTTATTTTCATCAATTAGCAAAATGTCAAGAATCTGGGTTTCTCTCCCCCCACTAGGAGATTGTGCATGATTAATGAGAAATTGTTTCACTCCTTTTCACATTTGTTGTTTTTTTTAAATTATTTTTTTGTATTTTTAAACCACAGCAATGTCGTTCTCTGTTCACAAAACATAAAAGAAATTAGTGGCTTGGTTTACTATATCTATTAAACAGCCCTGAGATGAACGCATGTTCTTTACAATGTGCACAGTTGATTTTAGTTCAAGTACAGACTTAAAGGGTACCTACATTTATGAAATGAGCCAACAGGTGAATTCCTTGTTTTTTATTTATTTATTTAATTTTTCTACAAGAGACCCATTAGACCCATTATTCAAGAGCAAAACTTAGGAACCTCAATCTTATTAAGTGGAGGAGATGTTGGAAGTCATTGGAACAAGAATGCGGTGGTAATTTGACAGGCTTTCATCAGATGGAGTGATCCTAGTCTGCCAACTTATTTACTTGGTGTTGAATGTTCCACAGCTGGGTACACTCAGAAAAAAAAAATCAGTCTCTGCCCTCCTCATGACCGTGCCCCGTTTTCACCTTAATGTTGTCTCTGCCTCAATTGAAGAAAAAATGAAGGCTTTCTCGAGGGAGCTGTATGGTTGTTTGCTGCTGGATATTTTCTGTGTGACCCTTTTAAGTAAAATGGGAAGCGACTGCTCAAGATTATAGTCTTTGCCGACCAAGAAATCTTTCATTTCGCTTCTTTCACCAAACGCACTAGAGTCCACATGTCCCATTTCACCTCTTATTGGAAAAGTGTTTCACTTTATTTACCAATTGTACCCCTAGCATAGTCTATGAAATAACAAAAGCGGCGGCTGACTGACATCTGCTCTCAAGGGCTTAAAGGTTTTCAGTGACTGTTCATGCTAATGACTGAGGGGGTGTTACTTCACTATTGTGCCTCTGCAAATTACTATGAGCATCCTCCATGCATGCAGGGCAGCAGCTCGCACTGGGAAGCAACAACATATGCAACACACCGCGTAAACGCTGTTCATGTGACACATCTTTCACAGTTTGTTTTATCACTTTAGTGAGGTTTTTCCCTTTTTAAATCTATTCCTGAACAAGTTAGCCCCCCCCCACCAGGATGCGTGTGTAAAAAAGACTTTTCCGAAGAGTTGAAGCTCACTCTGAACCATCTTAACCATTTTTATATAAGACGGGAGTAGCCGCCGTTTGCTCTGATGCCTGTCTTTTCTTCTTGTCTCCTGTGCATAGGGTCGAGGCTCAGGCTTTCCTGGGAGGAGGAGGCCCAGAGGGGCGGGTCTGTCGGGTAGAGCTGGACGCGGCAGGGCCAGGGGGAAGAATGGTGTCAGTCCCAGCATCAACCCAGGGGTATGTGTGGCTGCTTACATCCTCACATGGCATTTGTTGATTTTCTAGCAGACGGTCAGATTATATTTTGTAAGTAGTTATAGTGTTAATGCTGGTTTCATTTAATGTTAATGATTGTACTTTTATTTGTTTTGCTTTGCTAAAATTTTAGAAATAACTGATTGGTAAAAGTCTACATCCATAGAAAATGTTCAAAATGGCATGTCTATGTAATTAAAATGGTTTGTTAATGTCTACCATCTCACCTGCACAGATCACTACAATAGAAATGCAATACCCCGTGAAGGAGGAGGAGGAAAATGCAATGCATAACACAGTGGTCATATTCTCCAGCAATGACAGTTTCACGCTAAAACAGGTGACCTTTTCAGACATTACACATTTTGGATTTTCAGTGTTTATTAGATGGCCTGAAGTGAAATCTTTTTCTGAAATATTGTTCATACTTGAGGAATATTTTCATAAATGCAGTTTGATACAGTAAAAGGTGATATATTATCAGACCACTGCTCTGACCTGAACCTGTTTCTTAATCTATCAGAACACCTTACTTACTTTAGGCTGGAAAGGTTTGACGTCATTGCTGGATTCATCAGATTAATGATGTGTTTTTGTTTTCTGCTCAGGACATGTGCGTGGTGTGTGGGAGTTTTGGTCTCGGTGCAGAGGGCCGCCTGTTGGCTTGTGCCCAGTGCGGCCAGTGCTACCACCCATTCTGTGTGGGCATAAAGGTACGCCATTTCCATCGACCTTGTACAGTAAAGGCGCGCTGTGGGCCTGACAGGTGTACACGCCTGTGTAGTTGGCCAGCAAAATCTGATGTTGCTGCCTTACGCTCCGCAGATCACCAAGGTGGTGCTAAGCAAAGGCTGGCGCTGTCTGGAGTGTACGGTGTGCGAGGCTTGTGGCCAGGCTACGGATCCTGGCCGCTTGCTGCTATGTGATGACTGTGACATCAGCTATCACACATACTGCCTGGACCCTCCGCTGCAGAATGTTCCAAAAGACAGCTGGAAGTGCAAGTGGTGAGTGGTTCTTTGATCCAGTAACGCTACAAATCACTTTGATTTTTTTTTTTTTCTAATTTTCCCCCATGTCGGTGAAAATCAAACAGATATATAAAAATGCATGAAAAAAAAAACGTACAGCGTAACAACTTTTTTCCCCAAGTGCAGTTATCGCATCATCCTTTTTGAAATAACTAATATTAGATGACCTCTGTCCTCCTCATCTCCTGCAGGTGTGTGTCCTGTACCCAGTGTGGCGCCACCACTCCAGGCTTGAGGTGTGAGTGGCAGAATAATTACACCCAGTGTGCTCCCTGTGCCAGCCTTGCAACATGCCCGGTCTGCCTGGTGGACTACAGCGAGGGCACCGTCATTGTGCAGTGCCGCCAGTGTGACAGGTGTGCGGTGCCTCCGTGAACCGGCCAGCTCAGAGTGACCAGCCTCACATAAGTCTCCCTAATAACAAGCCCACATCTAAACGTGTCCTCGTTTCTGTAGATGGTTTCACGCCTCCTGTCAGGGTCTCCACTCAGAGGATGACGTGGAAAAAGCAGCCGAGAGCTGCTTCGACTGCACAATGTGCCGAACCTTTAAGACCACTAAAGGTGGGTGCAGAGAGCCTAATCTAAACGTCTCTTTCTGTCAAATTCATTTGAGTTTTTGTGTTTTCCTTAGACTAAGTAGACCTCAAAACGAACTGTTTCTTGATTCTTTCTTTTTCGTAAAATTGCTATTTTGTGTCTGGTGCTGCTGCAGTTGTGACTAAGACCAGAGACAACATCGAGCCACTCATTGTGATGCCGATGCTAACAAAGGCAAAAGACATTGGTAAGTTTAGAACCTCAGTATTGATGAAAGATTAGTGCCGCAGGGACTTGCCGTGAATCGGAATCATTTTGCTCCCTTCGGCTCCACGTCATCCTTTTGTTGTCTTTCCAGATCTGACAAGGACCTACACCCAGGACGGTGTCTGTTTGACAGAGTCGGGGCTCTGCCAGCTTCAGAGCCTTTCTGCTACGGCGTCACGGCGACGGAAACCTAAGCCCAAACTGAAACTGAAGATCATTAATCAGAACAGTGTGGCAGTGCTTCAGGCTCCCATGGACCCACTCTCAGAACTCTCCCGAGACGAAGACATGGAGGACAACAGAGGTACATGTCATCCCAGATCATTTTACCCTTTTCATTTTTTAACTTTTAAAAAAAAAAATATCGATGGAGCTGATTTAAGTCAGATCTGTAAAACAGCTCTCTCTGCATGACTTTGAATAAACCCACCTTTTTCTTTTCTTCCCCTATTATAGTCTTAGAAATTAGTCTGTCTGTTACATTTCTCTCTGTGTTTGCTAAACTCGTGGACATTCAGGTCTTTGCTCTCTACGGTACACCACTACCTTTTTTTAATATCGGTCTGAACATTGTTCCTGGAACGCCAGACAAAGGAAGCCCCTCGGGCAATTAAGGTCTTTGACCATGTGACCGGCGAGCCTCACTTCAGTCAGGCTTGTGTCTTGCTTTGGAGTGGGACTCGGGCAGAACTGACTGTGGTGCTGTAGTGAGGGGGCCTTGCTGGATTGTCCTCAGCTGCAAGGCTGTCGCTCATCATCAATTCTCTCTCCCTCTCACAGAGGCGGAGCTCCTCGATTGTGAGGCAAAGTCTGACTCCAGCCTGGAGCGAGAGCCAGTGGAGGATGACTCCAAGGGGGCCGACGGTGGCAAGAAGAGGAAGAGAAAACCGTACCGGCCGGGTAGGGCACCTGATTGAAGGAGACAGCTCCCTTGAAGCGTAAAATGGTGCAGTCGATGCCTGACGTCGTAGCTGTAGCAAAGCACTGCCATCTCACGGCCTCTGGTGCACAGAGGGCTTCTTTGTGTGGTTTTTAAGCTTGATCTATCAGGCCAGTTAGTAGAAATATACTTTAAAAATGTCTTAGATTTTCAAATTGAGCACATCCATGACTGTAAGGGGAGTTGTGCTGGTAAGGGTTGTATGAATTGAAAGATCGCTTTGAACTCTTTTTAAAAGGTATCGGCGGGTTCATGGTCCGCCAGAGGAGCCGTCCAGGCCAAGGTCCAGGCAAAGCTAAGCGATCCCTCTGCAGGAAAGACTCCTCCGGCTCTGTGTCGGAGAATCCCATGGGAAAAGACGAAGGTCTTTCTTTTTCTTTTTCTTTTTTTCTAATATGTCGAAGCTCTTCTACACTATGAATTTACAACTGACCATGAACTCATTTCTCATCGTTTATTTTGCTAAGGCTGGATGGAATCGCTGCCAGTTACGCCTGTGGATGAGATGCCTCCTGGTCCGGACGTCCCAGAAAAGATAAAGAAACGCTATCGAAAAAAGAAAACTAAACTGGAGGAGGCTTTTCCCACCTACCTACAGGTTTGTCACCAGTGAATGGTGGACGTAATCAGGAATCTTGTTTGACTGATTTGTAACACCCTCTCTATTGTCTTTATAGGTCAAACCACTATAATCCAACTTTTAGGCATTATCTGTTTTGTACATGATTACAATTAATAACTTGAACAAATACACTTAGAATTATACAATTTTATCAATTTTTTATTCCATTACTTATAACTTTAAAAAAAACTTTGATATTGGAGAAAGTTGTTTTGAGGAAAGAAGACTGCAAAAATTATAGCTTTATTCAGATGTTAGTAATTACTTTTGTTACATAAATGTACTATTCCGAGTTTTCATTTAATGTCATGCCATGTGCTCGTAAATAATTATTTTTTAATCTCTCCATTGGGAATCCAAAGTACAATTCCTCCAAATCATTTAACCACTGCATTGGTGCTCTGTGTCGCCTCTGTAACTCCACTGAAAGAAAAAGATTCTAAAGGAACTCTCAGTGAAAGATCCCGGTACCTGCATCTGATCTTAACTCTTTTAATGGCCCCTGTCTCAGTTGTGAATTGACATATAAATGCTTAACTGGAGATGACTTCAAAGCTCCCCGTCCCTTAGCAGCATCTCAGTGGCACCTTGTGTTGGTTCGAGCATAGATCTGTGATGTGCATTAAGCCACCGGCAGTTGTCAGTGCTGCTCTTTGTCCCGCAACGGAGCTGGGAAAAGGAGAAATGAAGTGTAACGTGAAAGTCTGACACGGTTAAGAACATTTCATTCATTATTGAGTAGACGACACATTTGGCTTTTAATGTCTCAGCGCAGCGCTGAGCAGCTTTTCCGTGTTGTTGAGGATGGCTGAGGCCTTTGGTTTGAGGGTGAATGTGCTGACTAAGGGGAGGCCCTACATAACTTTAAGTCTTGAGTTTTTGCTTCTCTGCATGCTGAACATCTACCATGTAATATATGTTACTGTTAAAGGTATCAATGCATATATTGTCTTGTCTAAAAGAACAGAAGTGTGTCAGTTATGACTGCTGCGTGTTTTCCTTTCAGGAGGCTTTCTTTGGAAGGGACCTGCTTGACAAAAGCAAGCAGACCAGACAGCAGGGGGTAGAATCTGGCCTCTTGGAAGATGGGCAAACCCAAGTGGAGAGGAAGCACTCCACCGCCGGTTTCCTGGACTCATCATCGGACCCACTGCTAAGCGCTTCAGCAGCATCTATTCCTGCCAGACAAGCAGGGCCAGCACGTATGTATTTTCTGCCTCCATTCTCCAGGATCACAGGTGTAGTTATTCACCGATTCTAAGCCATGCATTAGACTAAGTAATTGGTTTAAATATAAGGCACCATCCAGACCATGTCTGGAACCAAAGCTGATGTGCTCAAAAATGGTGTAGCAGAGGTTTTATTTCTTCTCTGGGCAGTAAAAGTTAATCCCACAAATGTATCCGTCTTATTCCTTCATAAGCCAATGAGTGTTTAGGATATGTGTTGGGTGGACGTACGTTCAGATTGCATTTCCCCAATTCAGTTCAACTCTGGAGAGCTCGAGGTTCATTTGTACTTATCAGTGTTTAGCTTCCCTCACTTTGCATTCTCGTTCAGCGCTTGCTTTGTTTGACCTTCCCACATTGTGCCTCTTGCTTTTTGATCTTTCTGTTTTTCAATACGGAGTTTATTCTCTCTGTACTGACCCGAATGAATGCACAGCCAGAAAACGCAAGGCTACTTGCCCATAGCCTGTCAAAAAAAACTTACAAAATACATCAGTGCCGCTACCCACAGTCTGCCCACAGTTTAAATTGCAATTTTGCAGAGAATGCAGCCTGTACAAATTTTTGCAGTTCAATAGAATGTTATTCTTCTCCAAGAAGTTACTATGAAGCAAAGCTAGATTCCAAAGACTCGTTAGAACAACTCATGTCAACATTCCCCATAACCACTCCAACCAGAGACTGATCATTTGAGAAAAATTGAGAATTGTTCTCTCTGGAATAAGAATAACTGTTTGTGTCAGATGATTAACAGTGTGACATAACATAGCTAAAAGCTAGAAGAAATATTCATTCAGAATTTACCACAACCTTGACGAATGTGCAAATTGTGGCAGGAACTCGGAGCCGTGATTCACCCACATGGACATGTTTTCGGGGCTCCTTTCCCGGGACCTCTGCATTTTGACCACATGAGCAAAGGACTAAACGTACCTTTGGGGGTGGCTTTAGCTGCAGAAAGGTCAAGCCCCCCTTTTTTTGTAGGATGTCTGCACAGAACATTTCTGATTGGTCAGGTATTCAAAGCAATGTATTTCCACCTTTCAATTTCCTCAGCCTTTTTAGGCTTAATGTCTACAAAGGCTCTTAGAATCTATCTATTTGTAAGTAGGAAACCCCTCGGTAAAAGTCTAGCTTCTGATGTTATCCATGATGCCACAGCTGTTCCAGTCAGAAATTCTCATCTACGTGGCATCTCTTTCTCTCTCTGACTTCATCTGGATCAGAGCTTTTTGCCTCATGTTCCTCAGCTGTGAAACCAGCTCCCTGCCTGAGCCAAATATTGATGCGCACTCTGTTTTTAAGAGAAATCGTAAGATCTGTTCACTTCAAAAAGCTTACTTTTAATTTTCCAATCTGTTTGTTCTCTACATCTTTAAATATTCTCCTTTTTGTCATTTTCTGGAGGCTATTTGCTTTGTTGCTTTTTGCCTGTTGAAATATTTTACTGCTTATATGTGAATAGGTTTTTATTAAACCTTTCATTTAATGGAAATCTGACCTGGCACAAAAATTATCATTAGATATCCTAAACATGTTTTTAATGCTTTTTTAATTAAAATTTTACACATTTTAAAGAAGCAAATTAACCTTTGACCAGAAGACAACCTCTCTGTTTTTGTGTGCTGTCATTTCATCAGAGGATTCTTTATTATTTGTTTTCATGCAACATTCTATCTTTGCTTTTCTCAGATCTCAAATTTTGAATAGGGGAGAGACTATCTTCTGTTCCAATTTTCTGATTAAACTCATAATAATCGAAATGTTGCTCTAAGGCCTTTGACTCTTAAAACACAGTATTGTTTGCTTTTTGGGTGTTTTTTATAACTTAATTTGTGTGCCACACTTTGAAAGAAGAGAATATGAGTCAACTACGGGGATTTGTTAAAAACTTTTCCATCATCAACACTGTCAATACTTTTATACCACAGCGCTACGCCTCAGATCTGTGATATGTGCTGTGCCATATTAATTAGCTATGATTTCTTCATGGGGCATTCAGAGTAAAGTTCATTTATGTTCGCTCATCATCATTTATGATTTGTGACAACCTGGTTTTGTTTTTCTTTTCCTTTTTTTTCTTTTCCTGCCTTTTCTCCTCCCATCCACAGAGACGTCTGAAGAACCATTAGTTGATCTCTCTGATGTTCTGAACACTGATGCAGACATCTTGGGAATGCTGGGAAAGCCAAGCAGTGACTCTGGTGCGTCATATATATCACAGGAAGTCACAGTGGCAAGAATTTAAGTAAACAAGCTGTCGGTTCAGACAGGTTTCTAATACTAATGCAGAAACGTCCCCGGATAGCAAGTTTGTTTTTATTTTACAATCCCTTTTTGTTTATCCACCCATTGATTTGATCTTTTTGTTGGACCTGTGTTGTGCTTCTTCTGTCGTCACTTTTATTTCACTCATTTTATCTGGTTTTGGGTTCTTGTAGGTCTTGATTTTTGCCCCTTCCAGGTTGACAGCTCACCTCCTCCTTTTGGTAAGGGTGTTATGGCCTACTAATCCCTTGCTTTAGTGCACTCCTCCTAACTTAGATTGCGTCTCTGTTTGAGTGTGCATGTATAAAACCTAAAGCTGCTTCTTACTGAGCTTTCCTCTTCAGCAATTTCTGATTTCACAGTCCAGCTGCTTGGTGCTTACCTAACACCTTCCTCAGTTTTCACTCACATTTGTATGGTGTGTCAGTCTTTATATGGTCAAAACTCAGAATACCCTTTCATAATTTCATTTTTGCTGAGCCTAAGGTGTCTTCAGGATGGCAAAGAAACCGACAAGGACATCTCAATGTTAATATAAAAAATTGCATTCAGAGGCAGTTTAGATGGTGTCCTTGGCAAGTTTCTTTTCCTCTCTGTACACAGTAAAGAACGTTTGTTTTTATTTCATTTATGACAAAAATCTCCACATTATGTGTCCATTGTTCTTTAAGAGAGATAAATGGATAGTATTCGTCTTGAATGTTCCTGTAATTTGGAGTCAAGCCTGTTTGATGTAAAATGTTTGAATGTAGGAAGATTGTTAATTTTTTTTTTAACAACAAAAACCTGATTATGTTTTGATGCAAATAATGTTTTTCTAAAAAGTTCTCATTGTTAATGCGATTGCTATTGAAGCCATTGAAGGTCGCATGTCTTCCTTTTTCAGAGTCTGACGGTTCAGATAGTCTGAAGATTCAAGGCTCTCTCTATAAAAAATAAATACTTTTTTTTTTTTAATCTCTATAGTGTTGCTCCATATGAGAATGAACTGGCATGGCCTGTCACTTCTTATTGGAAGATTAAAAAAGTTCTGTTGAAGTCAGTAAAAAGCTAAAACATAATTCCCAAGGAACTACACAATTTCAGCATTGTGTTTTGATAATTTTCCTCAGACTGTTGATGTCATCACAGTAAACTTCCAATCTGTATTAGTGGTCAGGCTATTGGTTGTCTTGTGATTGTTTTGTCTGTTTGTGTTGTGACCTGTTTCTGTACGTCTGTGTGTGTTTTCCTCAGCTGGCCTGGACATTGGGCCCCTGGCAGATGGCTCCCCAGTGGCGTCTCAGTCTCAAGCCGGCCGTAGGACACCTCGAACAATCCCAGAGGAACCGCTGGACGGGATTCTCAGCCCAGAACTGGACAAGATGACCGATGGTCAGTAGATGAGCAGAGCGTTGCTGGGGATTTTTGGTGTTTATAAGAGCAGAGAAATCCTCTTATGGGGTGTGAAATACACTTCTCCACGACTAATCTAAAACTAACAGTCCCATATCTGTAGTTGATCTTCAAAGAGTAAAATTATACTTTAATCATTGAAGGTAGTTTCAGAAAGACTTCCTGTGAGTGTGTCAAATTGTTTATTCAGGGGGGGGGAAATGCTTTTTTTGTATGTGCGTTTAAATCACAGAATCTTGAATTAAAAGTCATTGTTGTTCGGGTTTTTTTTATGTAAAAAGGCCCCGCTCTCCAGGGAAGTGACAGTGAGAGCACATATTCACATTTAGTGCTGTGGAAAGATCCCAAAGATCTCTGTGATTTTTGGTGACCATTTGGCTTTCGTCATTAAAAAAACAACAACTTGTGTTTACATGTTTTTATAAGCTAAAGAAATGATGTATTATTATTATTGTTGTTTTCTTTCAGAATCAATTCTCAGCAAACTTAACAAAATTCCAGGTTGGTATTTATTTTTGTTTCTATGATTTCATTTAATTCATGGCAAATAAAACCTGTGGAACACTGCTCTGTATTTTTGGCTAAAATTATTTGATACAAGTTGTAAATTGCACAGGTGTCTTTCAGGTAATGAATAATGATTGATTAAAGAGTTTAAAGAGTTTTCCTAAATTTTCTAATGAGTAAGCCAAGAAGGTTTATGGTGAGGTTTAGATTAGTAACTCAGAAGCTTATTACATTGTTCTGCTGCTGCTCTTGATGCAGAGCTGGAGGGCAAAGATGTGGAGGATCTCTTCACAGCAGTCCTCAGCCCAAGCATGAGCCAACCACCTCCACCACAGGTGCCTCACCCCCAGGTTCCAGGGCCCTTCCCTGCAACGCCTGGCACTAGCATGCCTCACCCCAATGCAGGTATGTCCTTAATTTCTTATGTTTGTCATCAAACCATGCTTAGGGAAATCCATCCATCAACCAAATTACTTCTTCAATTCTATGTGCAGGAAATCCAATGTTTCCAAGGATTCCAATGATCAATGGTATGATGGGACCAAACCAACGCTTCCCTTCAAATCCTGGAGCAGGACCCTGCATCCCAGAAAACTTCTCCCCCCTTAACCGCATGCCTTTCACTGACAATCCACGGTACTTCACTGCTTCCTAAATTAAGGCTTATTGGCTGTTATTTTTTCCATTTCTTCAAAATCATTGTGCTTTCTGGATGTTACAGGGATAGAAAATTTAATCAGATGCCTCGAGAGGCAGTTGGTTCATGGCCCTCCCCTGCCCACGGCCCTGGCCCTGCACCCCCTGGATCTATGCCAGAGGGGGAGACTGAAGCCATGTCAAATGCCCAACGGAGTACTCTGAAGTGGGAGAAAGAGGAGACACTTGGAGAGCTAGCCACTGTTGCACCCGTCCTGTACACTAATATTAATTTCCCCAACCTCAAAGAAGAATACCCAGGTTGGTAAATGGATCTTACAAACGTTGTAACATTTGACCAGTTTGTCTATTTGTTGTATCATTTCAGTTTGTATTGCTTTCAGTTTTATACTCAATGTGCTGTTTAAACCCACATAGTACACACAATATTTAATGTTTTTTTCTCTTTTTTTTTTTCTCCCCTTAATAGATTGGTCTACACGGGTAAAGCAAATTGCAAAACTTTGGCGGAAGGCTAGCTCTCAAGACAGGGCCCCATATGTGGTAAGAACACTTGACACTTGTATGTGGCATAAGTAACATGGGAGCCCTGCTTCTTTTTATACTTCAGTAATTACATTCACTTCGAATTATTTTACACAGAAGAAGTCCAATTCTATGGGCAAAGTCTATGCTCAGTTGACTTTGACAGATTATATTAATCAATCCCTGGATGATTGTTGTATTATTTCTACATTTCTTGAAAAAGTGAAGATTAAAAATGTAAATTGGAAAAAAAAAGTGCAACTTTCGTGTTCAGGAAATGTTTTTCTTTTTTTATTTCTTTGCTGTTCAGCAAAAGGCAAGAGATAACCGAGCAGCCCTGCGCATCAACAAAGTCCAGATGTCGAATGAGACGGTGAAGAGGCACCATCCACAGCAACATCCCCCTGAGGTGTTTGATCCCAACATACCACTAGACACAGAACTCCTGTTTAAAGACCCTTTGAAACCAAAAGAGTCAGAGCATGAACAAGAATGGAAGTTTAGACAGGTAAGAGTGTATGCAATGAAGTCAGCGAATGCAGCGCCAGGTCCACTTAATATTAAGACAGCTAAGAGGTGGTGGTTTAGTAAAGCTCCCTAAACAACTGCACTATCCTCCGCATTAACCCTGATGACATTGGTGGTTAGTAGGTCCAGTTCATTTTTGGCATGAGAATGATATTTGTTGTCACTATTGATGTCTAATGCATCTGTTCGCTCTGTCCTTTCAATAGCAAATGAGGCAGAAAAGCAAGCAACAAGCCAAAATTGAAGCCACTCAGAAACTGGAGCAAGTTAAAAACGAGCAACTTCAGCAGCAGCAACAACAGCAGCAGCAGCAGACCAGCCAATCAGACGGAGATGGAAACAACAGCAGTCATCAGAGTCCTGCGTCACAGCCCAGTAACGACAGCATGTCCCCCATGCAGCAGTTCAACACTAAAGAAACGTTTGCCAGGCCACAGCTACAGGGAACCCCCACTTCAGGGCCTTCAGAGGATGTATTCTTACGGCCACCACCTCCGCCTCCATCTGGCCCTTCCTCCCAGCCTCAGTCTCCTCAAGTATTCTCACCAGGATCCTCTGGCTCGCGACCCTCATCTCCTTGGGACCCATATGCCAAGATGGTTGGGACCCCGAGACCGCCAACTCTTGGACCCAACGTGTGCCGTAGAATGCCTGTGGAATCTGGTAAATCGCCCACCTCCCTGATGGAGCAACAGGACAGAGGGAGACCCTCTCCAGCTCATGAATCCTTCGGCTCTCCAACATCAATGAGTAGCGACCCTTATGCTAAACCTCCCGACACCCCAAGGCCAACCGGAGAAAATGACCCTTTTCTGAAGCCCATGGGTCCCCCGAGAGGAAGTCAGAGTTCTCAAGGAAGGCCCCCAATGGGCTCTCCTGGTAGAGACCCATACTCAAGGCCAATGATAAGAAATGATGCCTACCAGCGCATGGCCCAGAACAGAATGATTCTGTCTGACCCTTACTCAAGGCCTTTACTAGCGCCAATACCTGGAAGTAATGAGTCTGGCTCTGTCCCTCTGTTTAAGACACCAATGCCTCCTCCTCAGGCTCAGGACCCCTTTAACCGTCCACTCCCACATCCCACTGACAGATTCTCCCAAAATCAACAGAATGATCCCTATGCTCATCCTCCACACACCCCGCGACCATCTGTAAACGACAGCTTCTCCAGTCCTCCAAGAATGGGTCAGCATCACCCTCAGGGGCACGCATTTGCTCAGCCAGGAGCCGTGCCTCAGATGTCTAGAAATCCATATGCACATGCACCTTCTACTCCACGGCCTGATCATTTCACCTACGATCCCTTTGCCCAGTCCCCTGGCCCCAACAAACCAGGCAGCGACCCCTTCTCTCAGCCTGCAAACCAGAGATCCATCAATGAGCATGGAGCCCAACCACGGCCATTTTTCGAACCATATGCTCGACCCCCGGGCACCCCACGACCACATGACAACTATGGGCAGTCATCAAATGCACCTTGTCCATCCTCAGACCCTTACTTGCAGGCCCCTGCTACCCCTCGCCCCGGTGGGATGAACCAGTACCACTCCGGACAAAGGATGTCGCCCTCCCACACGTTGGACCCTTATGGTCAGCCTCCAGGTACCCCGCGGCCCTCTGTGGGTGAAAGGTTCTCCAAATCACCAGGTTGTCAGCGGGTGTCAGTGGAGTCGTTTACGCCAGGGACGCCGAGGCCAGGAAGCGGTGAAATGTTTTCACCACCAGGGGCGCCTAGACCCATGCTTAATGACCCTTATGCCCAGCCTCCAGGAACGCCCAGACCCAGTCCTGATGGGCTTAGCAGGCCTATGCCACGGCCTGGACCAATGGCAAGCCAGGATCCCTTCTCCCCACCTCAAGGCAGGCTTCAAGAGGCCTTCCCTCATCCAGACTCACACACACCTAAACACCCACTTGTTTCTGATGATGGATTTGGTCAGTCTCCCTCAAGAAGACCCAGCCAGACTCCTGTTCATGATCCATTTGAGCAGGCACCCATTGCCCCTCATCTACAGACGACAGAAAAAATGGAAGTGAAAGATCAGATGGTTGTGGGAAAAAATGGAAACGCCCCTCAGGACCAAGTCCAAATGTCAAACAACCAACAAATGCCTGGTGCATCCTCTGACGCTCAGGTTGTGGCTCTTGCTGAAACCGAGGAGAGACTCCGACAGGTAACTAAAAACTGAGAATATTTCCTGTTTTAATGTCTTTCAAAAAGTGTGTTTCTACTATATGATTGAAATCATTTTCAGGTCTTTCAGTAACTTGTTCTTTTATTGTCATATTTGAGATTTGACCTTCATCCTCTTAGGTGACATACAAACTAATTTGTGTTTAATTTCTGTTTACTGACGCTTGTAATGTGTAAAAGTGTAAAGTTCTCACTAATTTCAGGTTGACCCAGGAACTTCCAGCAAACTTTCACAATATTCAGATCTTCATTATTTGTTTTCAAAACCTGATAATTGTAGCTGTTTTTAATTCAAATTTAAGTTCCAGTTAAAACATACATGTTATGTATCTTTATCATGCTATTTTCCCCTCTTTTGGGGCCACATTGCTAAAGTTTTGACCCTTTAGGTCCTGAAAACATCATTATTGTTGACTTCACTTGGCTCATTAATCTTTTGATTAAATAGTCCTTTAATCTGTAAAAACATTTGTTCCTTAGCGACAAAGAATTAGAGAGCTAATCCTCAAGCAACAACAACACAGGAGTGCCATCCGACAGGAGAGGTGCCCTCAGGAACCGGCTGGCAACATGACCCCAGGAACACCACGGCCTTGGCCCCAGGAGGGCCCTGGCCCGCAGGGCGAAATGTTCAACAGACCACCTCCACCTTACCCTGGACAAGGACCCATGAGAGGGCCAATGAGGTTTCCTGGACCTTTTCCAGGAGATCAGCGTGTACCTTTTCCTAATGAAGGGCAAATCCCCCGGCCCCCACATCCTGGAGATCCTAATTTGAGACATCAGGGGCCGAGGTTCGTCCTGTAATTCTTGGTCAGACTTCTGTGTTTCCGATGTTCTGGGCTACATAATGCAGCATTGCACAAAATTGAATTTAATCTTGTTTTTTATCGGTTTTAAATAGTTTCTTTTCTTTTATAGGTTTGCATTTCCCAGTGGAGTTTTAGGACCTCATGGGGCACAGGAGTTCTTTCCTAGGGGACATAACCCAATGCAGGATGTACCCCCTCAAATGAGACGTTCCATGTCTGCCGAAATGACAAAAAACATGGGAGGAAACCCCATGGGGCTGCCTCAGCACTTCCCCCCTCGTAGTATATCAGTGCAACAGCACAACATAATGGGCCAGCATTTCATTGAGCTGCGACACAGAGCAGCAGAAAACAGGCCACGCATGCCATTTACTTCTGGCATCATGCAGGGAGGCAGCATGGATCCAAACATGCAGGGTCCAAGGCCTGTGGGCTTCTCTGGAGCACCTGATTTCAGGTTTCCTTTAAATCAGGGCCCCAAAATGATGGACCCTATGTCCAGTCAAAACGCCCACTTACAGCTTTCTGCCAGTATGGACAACCTTCATCAGCAAACCCAGATGCCAGGAATCAGTCCCCTTAAACAGTCGCCACTAATGAGATCTATGAGCCAGCCCGCTTCCAATGAGGCTCAGAGCATGGCAGCATCCATGATCCTGTCTGCACCCCCTGCTGGGCAGACGGAGATAATGTCAGTGGCCAGCAGTGAGGCTGTGGAGGAGAAACTGGATGCAGATGACTCAGCAGTCAAAGATCTTGAGGATGTGGAAGTGAAAGACCTGGTAGATGCTGATTTAGAAAATCTAAATTTGGACACTGAAGATGGCAAAGACCTCGATCTAGAAACCAACGATTTACACCTCGACGACTTCTTAAAGTCTGGCACATTTGACATCATAGCTTACACGGACCCTGACTTAGATGATATAAAGAAAGACATGTTTAACGAGGAGCTGGATCTTAGTGATCCTATGGATGACAATTCTGACCCCGCCGACATAAACAAAAATGCAAACGCCGAAAATGAGGCTGCGTCCAGTTCAACATCGGCACTGGCAAAGTCAGAGGCCGCAGGTGAGCAGTCCTCAACAGTACTCAAGCCAGAAGACACAGGAAATCGGGACTCTGATTCTTTGGCACCAATCCATGAAATTAAAACGGAGATCAAGGACTGTCAGAGGCCGCCAGAGGTGGTGAGCCAGCAAGCTTCTGGACACGCCTCGAACCAGCAGGGAGTTCTCTCCGACTCCACCCCGGTCCTGTCGAGTTTACTCGTTAAGCAGCAGCCCGAGGAGCAGTCATTAAACCCAATCATCGAAACCGTCAATCAAGGAGGTAACCTCATGGCCCAGCAGAACCAAGCCGCTGATACCCGGCATACCGCAGCACTCGCAGTGAGTCAAACAATACCTGACACCACCGGCGCAGGAGAGGTTTCCATGGCCGGCTTTGCAGCAGACCATCAGGTGGGGATGACCCCTGCAGCAGACCAGGGCGGACTGAGCCAGGCACAGCAGACGGTGTTAAACCAGGCGCTGGGTCAGCACAGCCTGCAACAGCGTCCTCTCCTGCTGGAGGAGCAGCCCCTGCTGCTGCAGGACCTCCTGGACCAGGAGAGGCAGGAGCAGCAGCAGCAGAGGCAAATGCAAGCCATGATACGACAGCGCTCCAGCGACACCTTCTTCCCCAACATTGGTACGGTCATTTAGGCCTTCTTCTCAGGCCTCGGTAGAGAGTAAAAAGCATTGTGACTTCTTCTGACTGTGCGTTGTCATTTTCAGATTTTGACGCCATCACGGATCCCATCATGAAAGCCAAAATGGTTGCCCTAAAGGGCATCAATAAGGTCATGGTTCAGAACAACATGGGAATGCCTCCCATGGTAATGAACAGGTAAGATGTTTTTGATATATAGAAATATTTTAGGTTTTAGCTAAATGGCTATGTATAACTCGGTGATGGAGGCTGAATCTCTACATGGAATTTGAGCTGCTTAATGACAGCCTTCCAAACCCCTGTCAAAGACAATTGTTGCTGTACACTTAACCATTCACTGGTCATGGTGTTGCTGTTCCACAGATTTCCTCCTGGTGCTGGTCCCGTACCACCTTGTCCTGAAAGTGCACCACTTCCTCCTCAAGTTGTCGGACCGGTAATTAGCAGTCTGCTGAATTATTAAAAAAATTGTTCTAGTAACAAATGTTTAACATCTTTTGTTAATCTTGGTGTTAGGATGGAAAATTGACGCAAGTAGCAAGACCAAATCCTCCGAACTTTGGACCGGGATTTGTCAGTAAGTTCCCCTTTCTTGCTTATTTGTTTGCTTGTTTTTTAAAGATGTTTTGTAGCTGAAAATACAAGGCTGTTTTTTTGTGCTGCCAAAATTACTAAAACCTCCCCCCTCCCCCTGTCTTTCTCTTCAGACAATGCTCAGAGGGCTCAGTATGAGGAGTGGCTCCAGGAGACTCAGCAGCTACTTCAAATGCAGCAGAAATTTCTAGAAGAGAAGATAGGCGCTCACAGGAAGTCTAAGAAAGCCTTGTCTGCCAAGCAGAGAACCGCTAAGAAGGCAGGGAGAGAGTTCCCGGAGGAAGATGCTGAGCAGCTCAAACATGTCACAGAGCAGCAGGGTGTAGTTCAGAAGCAGCTGGAGCAGGTAAATATGCAGCCTGTCAAGTTCGACCATTGAATTCTAACCAAGCAAACTGGCTGCCTTAACCACCCTTTCAGTTATCATGTGAGATGGATTTTAATTGCTAAAGGGCAATTAATTATTTCATGGCCATCATGTTGTAGAATAAGGTTGGCAGTAGTGGGTGGTACTAATGGAAGGGTTCACTGTGAGAAATTTACTCAGTGTATTTTATTTAGGTATGGTGACACCAACAATGCTTATGATTTAGTATTAGAAAAAATGTATTGCATTGCAGAAAACCAGCCATATCTGGTTTCCAGATGTTAGAGTGAGGGTTTGATCTGACATATTTACTTCTTATATCATCCTGAGGGACCCTTTTGTGGGTTTTTTGTTTTGTTTTCAGATCCGCAAGCAGCAGAAAGAACATGCTGAACTTATAGAGGAGTACAGAGCGAAGCACCAGCAAAATAACATGACACCAATTATGCCGGGGATGCACCCGGTGCCAGGTCCCGCCAACATGGTGCCCAGTGGCCCTCCGATGGTTCAGCCTCCCATGAACCCGATGCTCCAGATGCCCATTCAGCCTGGCCAACCAAACGCGCCGCCCCGTATGCCCAACCCTCCCGCTGGCTGGCATTCTGCTGCTCCTTTGCCCATGGGTGGAGCAGGAATGCCGCCTTTAATGCCTCCACAGGTGCCTGCTGGAAATCCAGCTCAGCCCCTTCAGATGCCAATGGGTAATGTAGCGCAGCACTCGCAGATGCCCGTGGACCCCCAAGCACCACCCACTCCAACTGGTGGTGTAAAACCCATTCAGGCCGGTGGTGTAAAGTTTGATGACAACAACCCGTTCAGCGAAGGCTTCCAGGAACGTGAGAGGAGAGAGAGGCTCAGGGAGCAGCAAGAGAGGCAGCGGGTGCAGCTCATGCAGGAAGTAGAACGTCAGAGAGCCCTGAAACATCGTATGGAAATGGAGCAGCAAGGGATGATGGGCCCAGATGGGAACATGGCACCGCTCGCTCAGATGCCATTTTTTAATTCGGATCTACCACAGGACTTCATCCAGCCCCAGAGGCCCCCTCTACAGCAGTCACAGCAACTCGGACCAATGTTTCCCCAGCAGCAGGGCATGCAGCCCACCATGGGCTCCCCGCCTGGAACATTCATTCAGGGGGAAAGGAGAGCCATGATGGGCAACGGGATGATGGGCCCCGCTCTAGCACATGAAAACGTCGCCCTACAAGGACCCAACTTTCCTCACGGTCAACCCCGGCCTCGTCAGTTCAGTGGACCAGGAATGATGTCTCAGATGTCCGGTGACGGAACCCCTTTTGGGAATGATGCGGCTACACCTTTACCATCCAACTTCCCTGGCTCTGGTCAGTCTCTTATCCAACTCTACTCCAACATCATCCCAGATGAAAAAGGAAAAAAGAAGAGGAACCGCAAAAAGAAGAAGGAAGACGACGCAGATTCAGTGAAAACTCCCTCAACTCCACACTCAGACCTGACAGCCCCTCTCACACCCTGTGTGTCAGATACCTCTTCGACTCCTACTAGAAATGCTCATCTTTTCGGAGACCAGGACTTATCGAGGTCACCCTTACTCGGATCCTCCACCCCGAGTCACTCGGAGCTGGAGAGGCAGCTTTCAGGAGGACAGACTGGTTTGTCATCAGATGCATCGAGGACCCAGGCTCAGGAGCATGAGAGGATCCTCCGCAACATAAAGCTGGAGCAGACCGATGCCACCGAGTGCCACGGGCCACAAGAAGGTCCTAACGGCACAGAAATGAGCTCTGTCAAGGAAGAGGGAAACAAAGGCGGCATGTCTCCTTTCCCTGCTGGGCAAAGTCCAAACAAGGGAGACGCTGGTAATGAATTACTGAAACACCTCCTGAAGAACAAGAGCACACCTCCACCCGGACTGTCGCAGCAGAGGTCAGAGGAAAGCCTGCGCTCGGAGGAGGAGGAACCCACAGACTGCAAAACCTTGTTAAGGCAAAGCTCTGTGGACAGCAGCGGGGTGAGCATTTGTGTTAGTCACGCAGTTAGAGTGATGAGGGGGTGATCAACATAATGAGTCATGAGCCAGCTAAGCCAGATGGGAGGCACATCAAGGCTGAATAGATGAGCTAGAGCTCTCAGTATAGAGTGTTGGTTATATGTTAGAAAATAACTCAACTAAAGTCATCGTTTCACGAGACAAACTCTGTTTCCCTTGCCCAGGCTTACTCTGATGGCACATCTGACTTTCCTGGACCTCTGCACCCTGAACAAGAGAAGAAGAAAGGGAGAAACAAAAGGCCTCCGAAAGGAGGCGAGAAACCCGCCTCTCGCTACAAGAAGAGAAAGAAGGAAGGGGATGAGAGGCAACTGATGCACTCTGGGCCAGACACAGTAATGACCCAGATCAAACAGGTGAAATTTGTTTTTAATCCCAATCAGCACCTTCTCATCTAACTGGTTACAGCTGTATGCCTGTTTGAAGGGGGATTGGAGGAATAGATAGATTGTAACATAAGATCATCACCATTCATTGTTTTAAAACAGTATTTACTGTCCGAAAAGGTGTGTCCTTGCTTGTGCATTCAGAATGGAGGCCCCACCCTGACTTTACTTTTTTGTCCATCGCTATCTTGTCGTTTGTGTGTTTGCTTGTGTGTGTTTTAAAATGATCCGGTAACATCCTAACTGTGCATCCTTTTGAAAGTCGCTGTGGCTCCATTTTCATACCAGCCTATAAACCTGTTTATATCTGTTATCGCGTTGGTCTGAATGCACTTATTTTCTTTGTCATTTCTGTATATGTAATCCATATTCAGATGTGTTTTTCAACAAAAACAGAACAATATGATCATCCTCTCCATTTTACCATGATTATGATTTTAAACCATTTACTTTATATTCAATTTGAGGAAAATATTACTTTCAAATCACACTGGTTTCGTTTCTGTCTTCACAGCAGCTGTCTCTGCTGCCTCTGATGGAGCCATTGATTGGGGTCAACTTTGCCCATTTCGCTCCCTATGGCAGCGGTCAGCTCAATGGAGAAAACCTGCTGTCTGGGTCTTTTGGCAGCGCCTCACTAGATGGAGTCTCCGACTATTACTCCCAACTGGCCTACAAGGTGAGAACTGCTTCAATCATACTATTATACCACCATGCCTTTTTACCATTTTACCAATACTTAAAATGTTGGATGTTTTATCATCTAATTACTGTATTTTACATATTCCATCTTGACACAGGGATTTGTACTTTTTACGTATACCTAGTTGCCTTTTCTCTTTTTATTCTATCTTCTTTTTTTATTGACTCTGTTATTGGGCTCGCAGCGGGACCAATTTCATTCCACTTCATGTTTACCATGTTTGAAATGACAATAAAGAATCCTTGGATCCATTAGGAAGGGGAAACTCTGTAAACAGAGGGGCTTGTACTAAGCGTGTCTAAAGTATCATATGATTCTACAGCAAAGTAACTTGAGCAATCCTCCAACGCCTCCGGCATCGCTTCCTCCCACCCCGCCACCTGTGAATCGACAGAAAATGATCAATGGATTTGCTACAACAGAGGAGCTAGCCAGCAAAGCTGCTGCCATGGGTAAGCAGTTGGCAGGATGCAGCAGCGAGAATATTAAGTTGCCTCTCAAGTTTTAATGGCAGTTTTCTTTTCTCTCTACTTATTGTTTTATTGAATAATTTTGAAATGGAATTAAAGAAATATCAGGGGATAAGTTATTTTCCATATTATTAACAGTCTCCAAAGGTTTGGTGCCAAAGCCGCTACACGTCCCATTCAGGGCCGAGGAAGATCTGCTTGCCCGTGCTATTGCTCAGGGCCCCAAAACTGTGGATGTTCCTGCTTCCCTTCCCACCCCTCCTCACAACAACCAGGAGGAGCTAAGGTAATGGACACCTCACGCTGCTTCATGTAAGAATGACCTGTTTTAGCTGTTGGATTTTGATGGTTTTTTGCCTATATTAACATAGTAACAGAGGGCAGGAGCCCTGCAAGGAGAGGGACACACCCGACAGTTTTGTTCCATCTTCATCTCCCGAGAGTGTGGTTGGCATGGAGATCAGTCGCTATCCAGACCTGTCTCTGGTGAAGGAAGAGCCCCTCTCCCCCTGTTTGTCACCCGTCCTCCCTGTGCTTCCTGCTCCCGATGGGAAAGGTGAACACCCATAACTCCCTACATAATTCAACCATTCACTCATAATTAATTGGTATTTATTATTCACTCTACATGAAACACACTAAATAAAAGATTGTTTTTTTTTTCTAATGCTCTTGTCGGTTTATGTTTTTGTTACCATGCTCAGCCATTACTACAGCTCATGTCATAAAAATATGTTTCTCAGAAAAGCAGGAAATCACCATCTTGTTAATATGTTTGGAAAACTCTTTTAGTTGTCCCATATTTGAAAAAAAAAATGGAAAAAAGCATCTTTCTACTCCTTCCTTTGAGTGTACCCAGAAAATAACTGTTTTCAAATGTAATCACTTATTTATTCAATCTGTCTGTTCTTTAGGGTCTGAAATTAAACTGCAGGATATAAAAACTGAGCCCTCTTCAATGTTCTTTGGATCCCCGTTTGGCCCAATGGCTCATGATTCCAAACAAGGGCTGGTTTCTGTGGCCATCACTCTGAGGCCAGCTGCTGCTGAGGTACGAATGCCTCCATCTACACTAATCATTTCATTATTTATTCCTTTTAGCTGTGACAAACGGCTGTTAAGTGTTTGGGCATTTTGGACCTCTCTAAAAAAATGTTGCATCTCTATAAAGGCATAAAATAGTGAAATATATCAGTGCTCTATGTTTGACCTGTGGATTAAATTAGGTGTGTGTGTGTGTGTGTGTGCTTGTGTGTTTGTGCCCCATCAGAACATCACGGGCATTGTGGCAGCCATTTCCGACCTGCTGTGTGTTAAGATCCCCAGTAGCTATGAGGTCAGCAGCACCCCGGACCGGCCCCCTCTGTCTATGCACGGTGGTCCAAGGGTGGGCCCCAACGGCATGGAGCCCCGGCCTCCTATGTTCTTCCACGGACACGGAGACACCGCCGGGCTTCAGGGCCGGCCAGGACAGATGATGAGGCCAGGTGGGCCACAGGGAATGATGCAGCAGCAGGGGCATAATTTCCGTTTCCATCTCAACAGCCCAGGTAAGGGAATAAAACTGAATTAAACAAGTGTGTCGCAGATTCCCCCATGTACTGCAGTACAGCCTGTAATTGAAATGTCATGTCTGATTTAGCTACACATAATCACTCCCTGTGCAAAGGCACCAAGCCACACCGCTCCTCTATATGTAATTGCTTTGTTTTGAACATCCAGTTTGAGTGGTTGATTGTTTATATTCTGTTCAGCAATGCAGTTTGTGAAAAATATCATTATCTAGAAGCATTTGAGCAGAGAGCTCTTTGCTGTTACCTTTTTGATTTCACTAATTGTCCCAGCAAATTGATGTTGCGAATGTAGTCGGTACAAGCAATATAAGGATAGAAAGTTTCTAGGTTTCTTTTAAAGCTTTCCCTCAATTACTTTCATCTCACACTTCAGAGCTTTTTTAAAAAAAAGATTAAACTAGAGCCTCCATTTTAACTGACAGACTTTCGGGCTCTCTGCGCCCATGTTGTTGTTTACTTGCATTTTTAATCACAATCAGTCTTTTCTTGTTTGAAAATCTGTTCAAATAGAGGGGTATTTTTTCTCTATTATCTCCAAGCACTTTTAAAAACATTCAGGAATAGATTAATTTCTGGTCCTCTGTTGTTTCAGCCACCGCTGGGGCTCGAGGACCTGATGGCAAGACCCCTGCCAGCCCTGGATGCAAACCCCAGTGGTGCTGCAACTGTAAAGTGGTTGTTCTGGGAAATGGAGTTCAGAAAACCACTAAAGACCTCCCGGCCCATATGAAGGTACCACACTAAGTTCAAATGCTTTGAATTGATTATGTGGCACTACATTAAAGAGCTTGAAAACCCTACAGACATAAGCCAGTGGGACACGATGCCTTCAGGTTTCCTACAAAGTGCATCTTGTGTGCAGGCAGTATTTATTCTCCCATCATGACCGAAGAGCTCTTGTTTTTAGATATGCAGACATAACCGCTTCAGATCTTTGTGCCAGAATCAGGTCTTTCCTTTAATTTTGTAATTGATTTCCCTGCGGGACTGCCAGGTAAGCTGTATCTGCATGCCTGATGTTTGAGGATATAAGGTATTATCTACTTCAGTTCACACGCAGCACCACAGTGAAACGCCGCTCGTATCCTCTGAAGTAAATCCTGCCTGAAGTTAAATCCATTTCACATCAATTAGCAGGTTAAACAGATTACCCTCTGCTGTCAGTCTTAGATTACTTCAGCCATTTACATATTCAGAGTTTTTCCTGTTCATTTTTTTCTCCTTAATTTAATTGATCTTGAGCTCTTCACAGTGGCCACGCTTCTTTTTGATTCATTCCCTATTCTGTGTGGTCTCTCTCAGGAATTTGAAGGCCGTCTGAAATCCGAGGAACACCTGGTCTTCTGCAGTCATAGCTGTTTCCTACTCTTCTGCTCGTCACCACCACTGCAGTCCAGACCTGCTACAGAAACAAAGGTGCGTACCACTCACTGTAAGCCTGCAGAAACACCAGAGGCAGTCTAAATAACATACAGGGAAACTCAGCTGTATATATTTCTTGATATATTTTCAGGAATCGATGTCCCTTCTCCCGGCCTCTGAGCAAACTGACAGCATTTGTAAAGCCCAGCACCAGTACAGCAATAATATGTCCTCACTCGATGTTCACTGCCTGGCCCAGCTTCAGCCCAAGCAGTCTCCCCCTTCCACTCCTCCAATCCCCTTTCCAGCAGCAGGTGATACACCCAAGATGGAGGCCAAATCTGATACCCTCAGAATGACAGTGAAGCTGAAAGCCCGGCCGAGGTCCCATGACGGCTGGCACCAGGGAAAGCGACAGAAAGGTCTGCGCTGGAGGAAGTGGACTGTTCAGATAGTGGTGCCGAGAGGGAATTCCCAGCTCCCGGAGGAAGATAAGATCGACGAGCTCCTGCAGAAACTCGGGGCGTCCCTTCGCCCTCAGGCGTCACTCAAAGACCACCGGCGCTGTTGTTTCTGCCACCAGTTCGGAGACGGGATCACAGACGGCCCTGCCAGGCTGCTAAATCTAGACGTTGACGTCTGGGTCCACCTGAACTGCGCCCTGTGGTCCACGGAGGTGTACGAGACGCAGGCGGGCGCTCTCATCAACGTGGAGCTGGCGCTGCGCCGCGGCCAGACGGTGCGCTGCGCCTACTGCCAGCAGACCGGCGCCACCAGCGGCTGCCACCGCCTGCGCTGCACCAACGTCTACCACTTCACCTGTGCCCTGCAAGCCCACTGCACCTTCTTCAAGGACAAGACCATGCTGTGCCACGCCCACCGGCCCCGCGGCACGGCGGGCCAGGCGCTGGAGCACGAGCTGCGCTGCTTCGCCGTGTTCCGCCGCGTCTACGTGCAGAGGGACGAAATGCGGCAGATCGCCACGGCCGTACAGCAGCCCGAGCTGGGCTACACCTTCCGGGTGGGCAGCCTGGTGCTGCACGCCATGGGCCAGCTAACCCCACTGCAGATGGCCGCCTTCCATTCCCCGACAGCCATCTTCCCAGTCGGCTACGAGGCCTGCCGCATTTATTGGAGCATGCGCCACGGCAACCGCCGCTGCCGCTACATGTGTTCTGTTGAAGAGGGAGAGGGCTTACCGGAGTTTACCATCAGAGTCATCGAACAGGGCTACCAGGACCTGGTCCTGACCGGTACTTCCCCTAAAGGTTTGCCCCCACACTCACAGGATTGACGCATTTTTCCTGACCCCTCACAGCCCTGTTTTCATCCACGCTGTGCTTCTGTCCCACTGATATTAGGAGTGTGGGAGAAGGTGCTCGGTCCAGTAGCTGAGAAAAGAGCCGAATCAGCCACCCTAAAGCTCTTCCCTGTTTACCTGAAAGGAGAGGATCTGTTTGGACTCACAGTCCCCGCAGTCACCAAAATCACCGAATCGGTTTGTAACCGCTTTGGATGTCTTCAGTCAGGTCCATGAGCCCATTACGTTAGCAAATATGTGACGTCTGCTCTCCATTTCTATACTGATGTCATACCCCCAGCTCCCAGGCGTGGAGGCATGTGACAGGTACTCATTCCGTTACGGACGCAACCCTCTGTTGGAGCTGCCTCTGATGTTCAATCCAGCCGGCTGTTCCCGAGCAGAGCCAAGAACCAGCTCCCCCTGCACCTCACTGGTGATAAGGTAAAGAGAGCAATCAGTGTTGTTGGCACAGGCTGCCTCAAAGTGAAACAAGCCACGGGCGAGGTGCTTTTTGACCGACTGAGTTCCCTCCTGTCACATTAAGGCCACAGCCACAGCCTGTGCCTACCAGCAGTGCCAGGTCCAACCAGAATGTGGCCCAAGGAGAAGGGGGTGTTCCCCACAGCAAGACTCCAGTCGTGCACCCCAGGTCCTCCCAGTACCGTTGGATGAAGAGTGAGTGGAGGGCCAACGTCTATTTGGCCCGCTCCCAAATCCAGGTGAGTCAGCAAAAATCCATTCCAAACGAGGCTGCTCCTCTGTCAGAGGACAGAGCAGCTAACGTGGTGCGTCCGCAGGGCCTGGGGCTGTTTGCTGCCCGAGACATCGAAAAGCAAACCATGGTGATCGAATACAACGGAACCATCCTCCGAAACGAAGTTGCCATCAGGAAGGAGAAGGTTTATAGATCTCAGGTCTGTTTTTGAAAGATGCGATACTGCTCAGACGTATCTATGATCCGGACGTTCAGCCTGTGATGTCCTGTTTCCTTCTCTCAGAATCGAGCTGTGTTTATGTTCCGCATCGACAGTGAACACATTGTTGATGCCACCAGAACTGGAGGGCTGGCAAGGTACTCTGAATTTCCATGAAGTATTTTTTTCTAAACATTGCAGAGACGGGAAAAACAATTTTTGTAAATTGTTTTTTGTTCCCGAAGCAAAATAGATGTTTTCCTAGTGAGACTCTTTTCAGAGACTCATTCAGTGTACAGAATATCGATCATTCCGCTCATTCTGCTGTTCTGTAAGTTAGAGAGCAACAGAGCAGGACATGCTGTTTGTGGTCTTCAACACAAAGTAGAGACATACTGACCCTGTTTATGGTCAAGGACTTTCTTCTTTGAGTCTCTTCTTTTATGTAACCTATTGTAGATTTGTCATCACTGAGTAGATTGTGCTTTACAGTCCATAATTGCTCACATACACACGAACACATTAACATGTCTGTTGTGGCTTTTAAGCTAAGCAAAGTGCACCACTGATGGAATGAAGCCTCGTACTCGGGGCATACCTTTCATAGACCAGATTTCGCATTCTACTCCCTCTGCTTTCATAATCTTGCCTCAGAATGCGGAAAAGCCACAAATTGAAAGCCTTTTGAGTTTTTTTTTTTAAGAAATGCTCTCTCTGCCAAACAGTTTAAATGTGGAATGCTGCACAGATGGAACCCCATGTTGTTTTGGATGTCTTTGAATCCAGATCCAAATGAAATGACTCGATTGAGGTGATGCAATATTCACAGATGCATTTGATACTGTTTTTCGCCCCTCTAGGTATATCAATCACTCTTGTGCCCCAAACTGCGTTGCTGAGGTGGTCACGTTTGAGCGAGGGTACAAAATCATCATCAGCTGCATTCGTAGGGTTGAAAAAGGAGAAGAGGTGAGTGTCCTGAGCCCTGGCTGGTACTCTGCCCTGTAGCGCCTGCATGCCCGGTAACCAATGCTCCCTCCTTGCTCCCCAGCTGTGTTTCGACTATCAGTTCGACGCCGTGGAGGGCCAGCACAAGATCGCTTGTCACTGCGGAGTTCCAGAATGCAGGAAGTGGATCAGCTGAGCGAGACGAGACGCCTACATGCATTCCCTGTTGTAGTGTTAGCATCACGGTCTCCGCACGGAAAAAGACTTCACATTTTAAGTGTGTTTTTTACAAACGAGCAGAAAGAGCCACACCTCTGGAGGAAGGAAAGAGCTCACAGGTTGGTTCACCAAGATCATGGAATAGAAACGGGTGGAGCAAGAGAAATCCAACACAGTAGCAGAATGTGACTTGTGCCATAAACGAGAGGCTCCGTTGTCCACAACGCCTCCGTCTGTCTGTATGTTTCTGCGTGTTTGTTTGGTATACATGGGGTGCGGAATCCACCAGCGAATGAGAGAGCACTGTGCAGGGTGCGGCCTTACTGCTTACTAAGGGCAGGCCCTTTTGTTACATACTGTTAATGTATACGTATGACTAAATGTAGACATCACTGAATGAGGAATGTACAGCAATGAATACTGCGAAGGGAATATTAACTTGCACTAAAAAAAAGAGAAAATACACAAAAAAAAACACACGAAAACTTTTAAATACTTGATTCCATGAGTCAGTTTTATCATAGGTCTCTGTCATGTGATTTGTGTGGAATTCGAGAGGTTTTGTATTTATTACTGAGTGAATGAATTTTATTCTCAAAATGATGAGATTGAGTTAAAGAAGGCTAGATTGCTATTGTTTTTGAAGATAGAAGAAGACATGCTGTTACTTTTGTATAAATGTACATAAACAAAACTATAGGAATAACCGACCAAATACTACCTTAACCTTCTTGATGTTTGGGTGTTTTTAAATTGTTTCTGTTCTGTTTGTCATTGAAATTTATTTAAGATGGACATAATTTCAGTTTGAGAGTATATATTATGATTATTCTGTACAGAATTTGTAATATAACCACAATAATTCACAAAGTATTTTTGTTGTATTAAAAGTAAGGTATTGTAGTGTAGTGTTTTGTGACTTACACATACTTTGACCACTCAAAAGAAATATTTTTGTTGACTAACGTAACAAGTTATCAGTTACAGAATTTAAAAAAAGACTTTTCAGATAGTAAGAGATCATTGCGATCTGTTTGCTGTTAATCAGGTTTGATGTTAAAGAACTGTGAATTAGATTTTAAACCCAAAAACAATTTTTTTAACTTTTTATCACAGATGAGAACCACAGCGTGTATTTACCTGTTTCTGTTTTTACTTTTAAATCAAGGTGCGAACGTTTAATGATGTTATGAGGAGACAAACCGGTGTATGACGGAAAGAACCGCGAGCAGAACTGTAGGTTCTACCTTTTCTTGGACAGAAATGGCATTCTGCTTAATCAGAAATATTTCTTATACTGACAGTTCACAATTCACATGCTTAGTTTTTGCGTGCACAATTTCAAGTTGACTGTAAAATTTTGCAGACAGTCTTAGAACTTGTAATGTATATGGCATGTATTTTTTTAACTTTCGAAAAACTCAATTGTATATATTTTCTCAATGAATGGGTGTAACAAAATTGTTTCTTGGATATTTTTCTTCTCTTGTATATTACATCTACCTGCCAGTGTGTTTGTGCTACATTTTCTTGGTCTTGTAAAGTAGTCAGACCCCACCCCCCCACCCCCACCCTGATTTTTGTTTTCTTTTTCTTTTTTTCCCCCATTTTATGTTTGTTTTTGAAATTGCCTTTTGAAGTGTAAAAATTATGAAGTTTGGAGTTTGTGGAATTGAATTTAGAAACATTTACAAAAATAAACTATTTTACATGTTAAATATTTGTTATGAGTTATTTATGATGGCGGCACATTGATAGTAGCAACATTTTTCAATTAAGAGAAAAAAATAGTTTTAAAAAAAACATTTCATCTTGCACAATTGGTTAAATGCAAGTATGAATTTCACGGTAATGAATTCCATTTCTGGCATTAGGACAAGTGAAAATTCTTGAGCTATACCCATACCCATTTCCAAAGTTCACCTGCAAAAAGAAATTTGGCCTTGGTATTTGTTTATTTTTTTAAATATACATCCCAGATGTGAATCGTATCCAAAATCTGCAGAAAGCTTGATATCAGATATAAAATCCTTCTGATCTCAAAAGGCATTTTGTGTGTTACAGAGGAAGGATGCTCCAACATGTCATCAATTCCTAAATGACTATTGTGTTGTTAAAGTGTAGGTAAACACACAGATCATGGTTATTACAAATGATCATTGTGTTACTGAAGAAACCTTTGACTAAACACAATCCATTGTTGACTCACAATGTTATAAATACGAAGTACAGTAATTTACATAGGATATTTAACTATAAAATCAATAGTCTCACAGGTTCAATACAGTATTGGCAATACTGACATTTGGTGGAACAAATCACACAAACTACTGATAATGAGACGAAGGCGGTCTGGAGAAATAGTGTCTCAGCATATGTTTCAAAGAATTTGAGGAAATAACAACAGTGTGGGATATTATCTGTAGACATGTACACAAAGAAACAGATAAAAACAACCTGTATGTCCACTGATAAATTCCGTTGCTAATAGTTAATCTAGTAAACATTTTCAACCTCTTGTTAAATCCAAATGTCTTACTCATGTGTTTTGGGGCTTAACTAATTCAACAGCAAACCTTCCCAACAACATAAATCAACGTGTAAGTTAACAAACAAATCTGACGAATGACGTGTAAAATCCTTGTTTGTTTTACTTTAATCCTGTGTTTTAACTTAGGTGCAGCTCATTGGTCAACCAGGTATTGTTGTTTTTAAATTATATGTGAAAAAGGTTGATTATATATTATGGCACAAGTTGGAGAAAGCGTCTAACTAGTGCTGCCAGAGCCAAAGCCAACAAGTATGGGATTCTAAAGCCTAATATCAAGGACATGGAATGAATACTCAAGACAACTTTCCATTTCCATCGTCCTACGTATGAGCAGACATCCAATCAGTGAAAAGAATTGAGTCATAGTGACATCTGTTGGTGAGGCATCCGAAAACGTCAGACCTGTGTGGTGTTATGTCAAAATTAGTATCCCTTTATGCATGTGCCTTCGTTTATTTTTATTTTTTATTTTTTTGTATTTTCCTGATTTGCCACTGTATAAATACATAGCCGTAGAACAAGCGTTTGATAATTATTATCAGCCGTCGTATATTTGTGGTGCAAATTAGTCCAAGAAATTGTGACAATGCGGTCATTTGCGATGAAGAACGGAAACACTTCATTGGACGATGACAAATCAAAAATATATCCTCAGATTGACAACAGAGGCATTTTTCTGTGCTCTCCGTCGCAGCCACGAGCCGGAAAGGCAACAGGACACGCGCAAATTTCTCGCGGTAGCAGGGCGCCACCCTACACCTGTAAACAGTCCGCGTTTTAAAGCCACACGAAGAGACGGGCCCTGCCTCTTTTTCACGGCCGAGCCTACTTCCTGGTGGAAGAGGCAGCTCCGTTCTCGGTGTTGTCGTAGTAAGTGTAGGGGGCAGCTGAAGTGAAGGCGGGGGCTGCCGTTAACTGCAACACGCCACTTATTTTTATCACACTGTCATTTTTTTGTTTTTTGTTCTGTTGTGCTCATTTGAGGGATACATTTGTTTTTAAAATGGGAAGCACAGTGATGGAGACGGATAAGGAGAGTTCAAAGAAAATGCCAAAGAAGAGGAGAAGTCTGCGGATTAACATGCCAGTGAGTCGGTGAAGTATCAACTAATTTGGTTTCTGACTGTGACTTTTTTTGGGGGGGGGGGTAACTGATGGGTTTGAGACCTAGCATGGAAACACGGGCTGACAGGAACATGTTTTACGCAGTTTTTTTTTTCAATGTTTTTTTTTTCTTTTTTGCTGCAACTAGCTCGAGACGCGGGAGCGCGTGCGTGACTGACAGCTGCGTGACGTCTTTCAAGTTCATCAGTCGGTTGAGCACCGGCAATTATCCGTTTTTAATCGGTTGGAAGCTGTGTTTTGATATAGTTTTGCACTTTTGGATATTTATATTGCAGACACATTTCGGTCCGTTTGTATTGAGATGCTGCCCCCCCCCCCCCCCCCCCCTTCGTTAGCGCTTCTTCTGTTTACGTTTGACTGTCAGATTCATTCGCGGCCTCGTTTCTGAGTTCATCGTGGAATGGCCTGCATGGGCAAAACAAACGTTTGCGAGGTGTAGGGAAATGAACAACTGAAAATAATATGTGACAGAGGGTCTTCCAAGAGTGTAGAATGATACCATTCCTGTGCCATTTTTGCCTAAGAATTACGTCAAGTTCATGTTATTATTAAAGCTCTGGTTTCAGGCTTGTCCCTCTGTGTTGGGAAGTCCAATAATAAATATTACAGAGAGCTGCTCCCAAACAACCATGACTCATTCTGGTCACTCCAGCTATTTGTATCTTATTATTTAACTTCATTCCCCTTGCCTCCACTGACTCAACTCACTTCTTTGTATTAATCAGTTAATGCCACATGTTGTGTATCAAAGCCTACTTTTATGAGGGCCAATTAGAATGACCTTTCTTTGATATAGATATACTTCCTTGTTTTTCATTGCATGAGGGTGGTTGTGTCTATCGTGCACAATCGCATACTGATCCGATGCCCTTGTTTGCTTCTGATAGGTTGGAGAGGCGAAAGACACTCCACAATCTGATGTAAAGATTGTGAATGCGACGCTGTTTTTATTTTGTGGCTGGCACTCCAGTGTAAAATGTTGGAGTTTATCATCACGATGTGAACCTCCCCGTCCTCAACACGGGGGACGTTCCTGTACAGTTGCATAAGAAATGATAGTGTGTAGCTTCATGCACTCAGCTCATTTTGCCTTTGGAAGGAAGCTTCCTTTCTGCCACATAATGCATCTGTATCAGCACTTGTCTAAAGAGGAATGTTGAACCAACCCATGGTATGAGGAAGAAGTGCACTGTGTTTCCTCAGCAGTCAAACATGTTGATCGTATTCTTGCAGCTATCTAATTGGCTCATTTCTACTGGAAATGTGTCTGCAGCCTTGGGAAAAGCTGGGCATGTGTGTGAACCTGTTATGACATGTGATTGATCCTCTGTTTTGTTTAGTTTTTCCCAGGGTTAGTCTTAACTTTGACACTCATATCATTGTATTTGCAGGACTTTGGTGCATTCAATGTCCCTCAAGTGGAGACGAGTGACTCAAGGACTCAAAGCGGCGCTCAGACGGTACATTTAATCAATTATGTGCTGTTATTTAAATTTATGGGCCAATGTTTTTCTTTTTGTGAGTTTGCCTCCCTCCCCCAGCACATGATCTACAGTGTCTCCTTGGATGTGTTTCCTGGCTTTGGAAGCAATAAAATGTTGATTTTGGAAAATATCAAGCGAGGCCATCTTTACTATTCAGCCAACACACTATGGGCCTACAGTAACAGTACACCCACAGAATCCAGGCACAGCTCGAATGCGTACTGGAAATGGATTTTTCTAAAAGAAAGCAGCCTCATTCTGCTGTCTGCTCTCAATCATCTGAAAAGGAATAATCACCCTCCGCAGCCAAAATACATATTACAGATTTATTTTATTTATGCAGCACGGATTAAACCTGTACTGTCTTGTGTTTTGGAAGAGCTGAGTTGTATCCCGACAAAAAATGCTGATGGCTTACTCACTTGCCTTAACAAGCTCTTGCACAATGTGAGATCGACATTTGTTGGCAAACCAAAGACGCGGGTGTGTGCTCTCTCTCCTCAAGCCTGCATCCGGATTGGTTTAAACAGAGTGGTGCCTGTGGAGTAGGCCTAGCTTTAAAGAAAATGTGACAAATGCAGACAAAACAGTCCTTCTCCTTTTGATTTCTGTTAACACAGACGCCGTCTTTGACCTTCGTATCAGCACATTTCTGTTTCCCTCAGATTTCCTTTTTCATAGTGTGCTGTTGCTTAATGGTAATATTTGTGATGGCTTCTGCGTAATGACACTGTTATTAAAACAACCTTGTTGCATTTCCCATGTTTGCAGTAAACACGGCCCCCTCCTTGAGAACCCTGTGCATTGTAATGCTCCACTGTATCAGATCCCATAAACGGTTAAGTGATTTGTTGTTGGCACATTCAGCTTAGACAGCAGGCAGTGGTGGGAGGAGGCTCGCTCTGTCTCCGGCTAGATTGGCTGCCATCTCTTGTGTTTTGTTTTTGCTGTCTGCTCACCAAATGGTGAAGGATTTCTACACTTGTTTATATGATTTTGACCTCGCAAAGGCAAAAAAAACAAAAAAACAGAGAACCATAGTGAAAATCTTGTTTGTGTCATTTAAGTACAGCGCTGATTGCCTAACAGTGAGCCTGCTGGTGCTTTTACTGACTCCTGTTATCAGTGAAGCCATTTAACACAGCCTCGCTAACACACTGTAGATAACATGGAGCCCAAATAAAAGAGCAAAGAGGAAGAGTGGACACATTTCTGTCTTTAACTTAGGTTTTAGTTGTTCAGCAGGATAAATGCACGATAAGGTCCAGCCAAAACATTCCAACATTATTAGAATATTTCTGTCACTTATATCAAATCATATTGTGTCACATCTATACCCGGCTTGTTAAAAATCTGGCTCCTAGTTTGTAATATAGATAAAAACAACAAAAGTCAGCATGTCTGTGTAGTGATAAATTATAAGACCAGGTGAACCCAGGCATAACTGATGAGGTTAATTATCAAAAGGTCAGTAACACAACGAGGCACAAAATGAGTGGAATTTCAGACTGGGTGAAGTGCATCACTGATGATAAACAGAAAAAGTATCAAATAATCCAGAACAATCTTTAGACAAAGCTGAAAACCTAACATATGCATCACATTTTGGGAGATCATCATTATAGCTATAGAAGCTAACTGTTTTTAAACATTGTACAGAGTTGCTTAACACAAACCACTAAGGAATAAAAAGATAGCAATTCTCGGAGTTTGTTTAGACCCCATTCTGTATTCTGGTTGCTCTGAGGGGTTGACCTCGAGTTCTAACTTCTAATATGGTGTGTTTGCTCAGGAACTGGATCATTAGCCTCTAAAATCAAATCTTGGTCCATTTTTCTGACTCATAATTTAATGTTAGGCACGTCTGACAACTGTGAGTTAAAATTTAAAACACCTCTTTATTATCAATGCAGTGACTCATAAAACCTGCTGGTCATAAATCAATAAAGTCAACACACAGCTGACAGTGTTTAGAAGTACTTTCAGATTTTGGCACAATATTTGGTTCATAATAAGTAGATCTTACATTCAGCAGCATGATTCAGTTTCCTGGCAAGGGCTGTCTCCTTCATACTTCCTCCTGGTCTTCCCTTGTCCACCGGATTTGACTTCTTTTTTTTCCAAACTAAAATAAACAGGCAACAAAGATGGCAAACAGACGTAACAAAAGAGCAGTCCTTGGAAGACAGGGCCATGCCAGCCTGCAAGTCTGCAGGAGGTTCTTTTCTTACTCTCTGAAGGGAATTTATGAAAAAGAAAAAAAAACTTGATGGGACTGAGCAACAAGCTAGTGAAATGAGCACTATTTTAAGTAAATGAAGGCAAATCATGAGCCTGATCGGTACAGACGTAGAGATTGTTCAGGACGTTTCTCCCTGACTGAAGGCCTGCACTGACCTGGATTCCTGTTGTACCTTAAATTGCTTGAATTTGCCGAAGTTTGCATTTGACTTTGTCATCTCCACTCTGGCTAATCTAGCTAACCAGGTATCAGGTTCTTTAAGTTGGTAAAACGTAGGAACTACCACAGTTTCATGTGATGTTGTTGCGTGACCCCCCTCAGAGTCCTACAGTCCCCCCTTGCCTTTTACTCTGTCTTTTCCAAACTCACTACATTCCAAACAGATGTAGTACAACTGTTGGAAATGGCCGCACAGGCTCATGGACATCAGTGGTTTTGATAATTAATTAAGTAATCAAATCATTACAGTTCCATAAATAGAAGCACGTCAGACTCTTTTTGCCTTTTATGAGACACCATTAAACTAGTACAGTGTGGCTAACTAAACAAAACAGAGTCTGAAAGTGGGAAAAAAGAAGAAGTGACTCACAGAAGTGCAATCAGCAGCTGCCATTTCACAATAAATCTTGTTAGTTTTGGTTGTTAAAATTTGTGCTACTGTCAGGCAATGCCACAGATGCACACTGGATCATTAAAATGTGCTTCTAAGTGATGAAATGTCCACTTTTTTTCTCAGGGAGAACGACTCATTCGTTCCGCCAGCCCCACCAAGAGAGTTTCTGCTAAGAGCTCGACCAGCGTGCCCTCAACACCCCATTCAGCTCCAGTGCAGTCAAAGACCAGTTCACCTTTGCCTAAAAGTATCTTCCCCTACCCCTCACATCTGAACTCCTCTCCCAAATCCCCCCGCCGCTTCAGCTTCAGTGGTATCTTCCGCTCCAATTCCTCTTCTGCAAGCATGAAAATCTTCTCCAGAACCAGGAAAGGTGAGTCTGTCAGCTAAGCTGACATTTTGTAAACTGAAAACTTAGCCTCACTTGCCTCGAGCAAAACCTCAGACTTAAGATTTACAAGGGATGGTTTTCTTAAAGGAAGTTACACTGTAGACGAAACTGTGTCATCTCAGATTATTTAGGTTTCCTGCTTGTGCACAACTTAAAGCCACATACAGGAACCTCTCTCAGTCTGTGTGTCATCTTATATTTAGATGAGTTGGTACAAAACACAGTTTCCAGCTTGAAAAATATCCACTGCTTTGCTTCATTTTACTCTAAGACCAGCCCAATCACGAGGCTTCCCATCATTAGTTGTCTTCTTTACATTGTCAACAACTTTTCCAGGAAAAGGAAAAGGGCTGCCTTTGTTTTTCGAACAAGTCCCTAAAGTTAAGCTGCACACTGGAAGGGCAGTTTGTCATATGAAGTTACAGGTTTGGCATCACATAGGTAGCAGGCCAGCAGCCTCTATTAAGCTCAATAATTGTGATGTGAAAATACGGAGAAATGAGGCAGACTTGGTTAGAACAAGGCCCTGCTGTATGAAAAGACCAAATTGGCAGATAGTCATCTCTCGTGTCTCCATGTTTTTGGGTGGTTGATCATTACATAACAAAAAACAGCCTTTCCCTTGACTAAAAAGAGCCCTGCTGGATGCGCCATCAAACAGCTACATGGATGAGTCATGCGTTTCTGGCTCGCCTGTAATCCCATTCTTCTGTGTTTCCTTGCAGAGGGTCTTTTTTGGCAGCGGTTGGTGGAACAGCTCAGCTAGGGCCAAACATTAGAGAGTCAGCATGCTCGGTTTCCTCTGGAGTTTGTTATTGGTGGTAACAGTACTAAAGCTGCTCCAGCTCAGTTAGGGCCAGCTGCATGGGTTTACAAGTGTGTAATGTGGTCTGAGACATTGAATCTTTTTGACTGTATAATGCTGTTCAACTAAATGCTCTAGTGCCAGTGAAAACAGCGACTGAGTACAGTTATGTGGCCGAGTGGGTGCCACAGATTTGCTGTTGATGTTAGTGGGATATTTTTGTAGACACACTACATTGTCCACAAGGGGGTGCTGAAGGCTCTGTCTTGTGTTGATTTGTCTTTAAAACAGTGTTTCCAAAGCTGTCTGTGCTGAATTATCTTAACCTTGTTAGAAAAAGGAAAAAAAAAATTTTCTCCTTCAATATTTATTTAGTTGTTTGATTTGCACATTGACTGGGTGTCTGTTTTTTTCCTCATGTGCATTTGTATCTGTATCTGTATTTTCTGCATTCTCAACTGTTTCTAAATATGTTTTCCCCATCGCCTGGACATTGTCAGTCTCTCACTGCTGCTTCCATAGCCATATCTGGTAGTGACCAAACTCTCAGGAGCTAAGCCATGCAGAGTTTCGACCCCCCCTCTCCTTTCACTGTTCACAGTGTTGCTTATGTGGGCTGTGTGTTGTCAGAAGGAGTTAAACTATCCTATATATACTATATACATAATCTATATATGAGTGTGTATATATATTTATGGATATACTACATATATGTATGGATAGACTATATATATATAAATGTATGGATAGACTATATATACGAAGTATCTCACAAATCTGAAACTGAATATAAATTGATATTGAAATGGATATTGAAACTTGTATTGGTCATTGAACCACTGAGTTGAGTGGAACACTTGCATAACATGTTAATTGAGATCTGTACTGGCGCTGCTTCAACTAATATGAGCAGCTAATACTGAGTGGGACATCTGTTGAGGGTAGGACCGGGTAATGATACTGAATGGAAGCTTTCTGATCAGCTGACAGAACATAGGACGTCCCGCTGCTGTCATCTGACAGGGGGCTGGTCTCAGCACTCTTAAAGGTCAGCCCCCCTAAAGTTACAGACACCTAACTGCACAAATTGCAAAGATGCATCATTTGCCTCCTAGTCACTTTATCATTTTCAACGGCAAATGTAGGGGGCGGCTTGAGCTCCAGAGGCATCCAGCCTGCGCTATTGCGAATAAGTTACATCACGTGATGACTGAGTGAGACAGATGTTCCTGTGCTGAATTTACTCTGCGAGGAGACGGAGGGCGGGGAGAGGTGTCGCCGGGGCCAATCGGAGGGGCGTGCTTGGCAGATGGCCTCCTTTTATAGGCTGCTGACACGCATGCTATATTAATAAGACGCCACCCACAGCTGCACTTGACAATTTACAACAGCGACACCGCTCAGAGGGGGAAAGGCTGCTACCCGTCCCAGTTGTTACCTGCATCGTTGCTGCTGAAGCTCGGTGGAATTTACAGCTTTTACACTCCTGTCTTTGCTTCAGATATACGAGTTGGACCGCGCCTCCCGGTTGCTCAGCACTTGTGTGTTTTTTTACCTACTTTTCAAAACCATTAGTGACTTTTTTGGAGTTGTATTTAATAAGAAGCTCATAAAACCCATTTTCCTTGTTGACTGATTGAAGTCCATCGGTTCATTGAGGGCCATCTCCTCAGTTGGATATATGGGGCAGTTTTAAGCTGTGGTTGTGCTCCTTATATGATGCAGATGGTCATGATTAAATTTAGTTTTGAGCCAACAACCCGCTGCTTTCCATGAAGAGGTTTGGCAGCCTTAGGAGAAGCAAGAAACAAAAAGAACAAGATGGGCTAGGACGGAGGCATCAGTCCGAGGCCGCGTGTCTGGCAGGTAATGTACTGTCAGCCCCTTTAATCTCTAAATGATCCTGCAGTTTGCTCAGTGTGTAATCATTGACGTCAGTCTTGTTCTAATATGACTTTAAAAATGTTTACATGTTATGAGGAGAAAAAGATCTAAGAACATCTAAGTCATACTGCTGAAATATGGTTGGCATTAAACATCTGGAATACTGCTCATACTTTAATTAGAGCCAAAAAACCTTGTTAGTTCAAATTATTTTTTCCTTCTCCTATTTTATTGGGCACTCATTTCTCAAACTAATGCAGTCTGAATGCGAAGCTTTTGTAGAAATTGTTTTTCAAGAGCTGCTGGCTCATCTGCGGGTTCATTAAATGTAGTTTGTGCTGCAGTTGAACCACTGGAGAGTCTTTCATGTTGCTTTTCCGCATTGATAGAATTCATGGGGACAAAGCTCCGCTGCTCGGTATGAAGTGCTACAGTTCAACACCACACACCTTATAACAATCTAATTAATGACCACCATTAACAACCCAGTGTAAATGACTTAGTATGTACAGATAATTATGTGCTGGCTTTCCTGGCTGTTCGTAAATGTATTTGGGAAATTGGGTTTTATGGACGAAGAAGTCTTTCTTTTTTTCTTCTTTTTTTGTTTGCAAAAGTTAAAATATTCTGGGGAACATTTTGTCAAAGGTGCTTTGAAGAAGATTAGGAAGGGTGAAGAATAGATAAACTACAAATATTGATTCAATTTACACATTTCTATCGTTGCTACTATATTAGCTTTTATTAATACCTTTATCTGTTGCATTTTTTATATCCCTTTTTCAGTAGTTGATTATTATTTTATTTTAAGTATTATTTTTTTTATGTGGTTTATCTGAAATGTTCTGTAGCGACGTAATCCGCACACGGTGATTCACCTGATTAAAAAAAAAAAACTTGAAGGGTTACAAAAAAAGACCTTGGGATCAGACAGCATCAGCTCTGTCTGTGCCTAATAAAAGAGCAGCTTAGGGTATACGGAGGCCCTAAACACTGTTCATTTTGACCACTAAAGGTGCTACATATAGTTGAAGTGCTGCTAACACAGCTGATCTCTGGTTTCACAAGTGCATGTCATTCATCTGCACAAAGTATGTCCGGACACAGGCCAAAGAAGGTAAAGCTGTGTGTGATGGGCTGACAAGGGCCAGGGAGCCCACCGCTGAGTGGCTGAGCACATAATAGATGCCCCTCCTGTAATTTCACGATTAAGTGGACGGTAAGCAATGCGAAATCTTTCTGGAAAAGTCTGAGCAAGTGTAAAAGCGGTGTATCTACTTCCTACTTGTCTTGTCATTGCTGCCGGGTAATTTATAGCCACTCCACCTCGTGTCACTTCAATGTCAGTATTTCTGTCCCATTTCCAGAGGGAGTTCAGAATAGCTGCTCCATGTGGAGCACTTCATTAAGACGGAGCTGAGGCTGACAGATCCCGCCGCTAAAGAGGAGGATTTTTGGACTTCTCCCTTTGTGTAGGCCCCTTTTTTCCGCATATACGTTTTTTTCAGGTTTGCACTACATTAAGTAAGCTGTGAACAGGATTCCAAACAAAATAGGCTATAACAGCGCCATCGCAGTCCCTTGCACAGCGGAAATTTGGTGCCCTCCAGGAGGGAAGGGCTCCAGCAATCTTTGTGGGGTTCAAGTGGAGCTTTATCGTAGACTCCACCACTCCTGATTTAGAGCCACTCTTACCACAGCTGAGTAGATTAGAGAGGCTGTCCAAGATGTGGAGTTCTGCGATGCGATGACACTTTGGTCTAAAATGCAAGTCCTTTGATCCAGAACCCACCGTGGAAGCAGGAACCATGTTGTATTTATTGTTCACTGCAACCTCTCAGAAGCTGGCATCTGTATGTGGAATTTAGTGGTGGCCAGTTAGGATAACGTCTCTGAACTTCTCAGCTGTACTTTATTATTAGGGGGTTAGTGGGCTACACACTAAGAACTAAAGGTCTTCCTTCTTAAGTCAGCGCAGCCCCACATAACTGAGGAAACCCAATCGGCCTTTCAGAGGGCATCCACAGTGAAGAGCACATTTTATGACTGCAACACTGGGATATAAACACAGATACAATTAAAAGAGATTAGCCTGCTTGGAGATCTTTAAATTACTATAGTTAGTATTCAAATTCGAATCATTTTCTTGTTTTACTCTTTTAATGTAATAAGAAATAACATTTGTCTAAATACCAGCATGACTAGTTTTCAGTAATTGTCAAAAACCTTCAGCAGCAGATCAGATGCTTGTATTTCTTTAAATATTTTTTTATTCAAATTGGTGCTTGATCAGCTGTCTTTGCTGATCACATTAATATTTTTGACAAATTGTTTAAACCCAAGTTTTTTATTCTGGAAGAAAAAAATTAAAAACCGTTTCAAAATAGGAAGACAATAAATAGAGTCTGTAAAATTGCATGTGGCCTTTGTGATCAGAAATAATATAGAACAGTCTTCAAATCCTTAAATGATTTCATTACTCATTTTAAAAAGTGAGTAATGAAATGTGATGGAAATATTAGGCTTGTCATCAGTGATCAGTGTCATCTGTGATTTATCAGGGTAAAAAGAATTTGCTGTCTCTCTGCTTACATAGACAAAGATGTGTCTATTGCATTTTGCACCTGGTAACTCAACTTCAAAATGAAACACAAAGCTCTGCGTGGGCTCTTTGAAAGATGGGACTGACCCAATGCATCCCTGTCCCGTTTCCCGGGTGGTACCGAGTTCCTCTCAGTTAACCAGGCAGAGGCGAGGGCTCTCAGGCCTGCCGTTATCTGCTCCTGTGGAATGTGCCACAACAGCGTGGCTAAAAAAAGGCCAAACAGCGGAAGCTGTGCACACCAAAGAGGGACGTACACGCCAACTAAATGTCAGGAGATAGTGTTGAGTGTACTGGGACAGGCAGAGGAAAAATGTTAACTCAATAGACAGGGCCTGTTGCTAAAATAACAAACCTCACGAAGAGCTTATCATTTGAATTTAACTTAAGAATTATATATAATGATCAGAAGCAGAATTGAAAGTTCATGTTTAAAACAGCTGTAAAAAACGTATTTTTGAACAAAGGAACTCATAAAGTCTCTCATATTCCTTCATAGAAACTTTAAATGAAGTCTTACTCAGGTGAATATTTTGCTGATATTTAAAAGACTAAGATTAGTTTCCTTACGCAAATATAAATATAGACTAATGATCTCAGTTTGTGGAGAACAATATTAACCTTATACCAAATGAATATCGTCACATGACCCTCTCGGCTTCACTGTCACATTAGTCATGATAAAAGTCATCTGGCCATCCGGAGACGAACGCCTCGTAACGAGAGCCACTTGGCCCACATCCTCCCCGTCTCTTATTGTCTGGCCTCGGAAATATGTCTCCGGCTCCGGGGGGAGCTGGGCAGGGGGCCGGAGCGGCATGAGTGTCGCATGTCACCCCCCACATGAGACTGTGAGGCCTGACGTGGGAGCGCACGCCGCGGTGACGAACGCTGCTCCCTGCAGGAGCAGCTGCGTTCCAGGCAGCTGACCGGACAGCGGGGCAGGGATTAATGTGGACCCAGGAACAGAGGGCCGACAGCATGCCCGCACTTCCATTGATCCTTCATTGATTTCTTTTCACTGCATTCGTTTGCATTTATTTATGAGCTGGGCTGCGGGCTGCCCTGAGGGCGTATTCATGAGCGCAGTCGAGATGATGCAGGTGTCAACAGACGGTGGTTGGCTGCGGTGTGGGTAAAAACGGGCCATGGGGAGCAAGATAGAGTCGGTTACGTAAACCATTTCAGAAACATCTAGCTAAGCATCCGGTTAGATTGAACTTTAACATTTTTAAAGCTTAATGTGAAGGAAACAAAAGCATTCAAATATAGATGATAATCCTCCTACTTAGTGCAGTGTTTCTTAACCCTGTTTCCTGCTCCAGCACACAGAAATTCAGATGAACGGGACATCTTTTTTAGCTCTTGAAGCTCTGCAGAGGGCAGCACAAGACACATGAAATAAATTGTATATAAATGGATTCTGACCTTTGAACTAACAATAGGTTTGTTCGGAGGCTCTTTGACATGATTACATAAGTTCATTTGCATTTCTGGTGTGGAGCTGGTGCATCCCTGTGGGCCAGCTGCACTGCTGCAGCCTTTTCTGAGCATCTGTGCAGCTTTTCTCCCTGCTCTCTCTGTTCAGGGTTGATTAGATATGTCTAACATGTGAGAGCACTGATATATCTACAACAGCCACATTGGCTGCATCACAGCTTCACCAGCCAGCTCTATCAGCGAAAACTGAATTGGCCAACGCCGAGAGAAGCCAGCTCAGATAAGCTCAGATTTCTGCACTCTCACACTTTCGTTTTTTTTTTTCCGCAGCTTCTGGACTTTCCACGGCACCCAGTACCCCGACCCAGACAGCCAGCCAGCCTGTGTTCACCCAGCATGCCCAGCAGAGCAGCCCCAGCCCCGAGCGCCTGGAGCTGAGCTCCCGAGCCCGCTCCATGTCCACACCCCCCGACACGGGACAGCGCCTCAGCCTTCCTTCTGCAAAACCCCCAATTCCTTCAAGCAGTCCTGTGCCAACCTACTCTACCTCACACCACGTGAGTCACAGCTCCCAGTTTTTGAGTACATTTCGTGAACATTCTTGAAAGAAGGACAGCTCATGTGCGTTTGGTCTCACGAACTCTTTACACCTTTGTTCACTGAAACAAAACATGTCTTTGTCCTCATTGAGTAGCACCAGAAAAACAAAACAAACCTCCATGAGTCATGGGATGTCGGAGCTGATAGCTGTTTTTTCCTCATATGTCTTCTGCCCCTGACACAGTGTGTTAAAGCAGTAGTTCAAGAAATACACTGACTTAAATATCAAGCCCTGTAACTTTGAGCTTCTTCTGTTGGCTACATAATTTGGGTTTTGGAATAATGCTGAAATTTGTATTTCTTATTTGTAATTTGGATGATTTCTTTCAGCTTAAAAGGGATTTGCTACATGACCTGCTATGCCGTTAGGATGAATAATGATCCGGTCTTCCTCTGCAGTCTGTCGGCCAGGAGAGATAGCCAGTGATGCTGAATCAATATTTCATCACCGGTGTTGTATACTATTGATATCAAGATGGAGAACTCCTGACTGTTCCTTCCGTTGCCGTGCCTTAAATACCCTAGGGAACCCCACAGAATGATCATCTCGAGCTGTCTGTTTACGTTATGGCAATCCCAGTCTCTAGAGCAATTGCTTTCATAGATTTGTTCCCATCTGTGTCCCTGAGGTTTGCTGTAACACAGAAGCGGGGCGCCTGCCTGCTGTGGTGCAGCAGGGTCAGATTTATGAAAGCGCAGGGGTAATTTCTGGCAAGAGAAGTGCTGTGTCACCACTGCAGGGCTACGGGAAGACTGTAAGAGCATCTCTGAGCAGGTGTGCACCCCATCGTCATGCTGCTGCAGAGGCCTGTTGTGAGTGTGCTTTCAGAATGGTAACTGGGAGAAATCATGTATCAGCAAGCACACTTCCAGCACACTAATCTCCCTGCGTGACTCAGCTCATTCCCAGTCAGGACTGCATTTGCGGTTGATGTCGGTGTGGCTTACTCTTAGCCTGCTGCCTGGGCCAAAATCAAAGGGAGGTTTTTGTGACAGACCACAGGAACGAAACTGGTTTTGTTTAAAGTGATGAACACGTCGGACGTGACTAGGCATCCCCAGCTTCTTGCTGCTAGGCAACAAAAGGGATTTCCTAATATGGAGAGGCACCCAGGTCTTCCAACACGGAGGGGCGTGTCCTCAGCGGGCAAAGCTTCCTTCTTTTCCGACCACGCGTCGACAGATTTATTTTTCATTTTTGGGTGAGTTTGGCGTGTCTAATGTCTCTGCGGGTGGTAAGCTGCGTGGCGGCCAGCCGTCACGAGTCAGGAGAAGCGGCCCGGCGAGCGGCGTCGGTTTCCCTGTTGCACCAAATGGACCAGGACTGTTCCACTGCGCTCGTTTTCAAAGGGGGTGTGTTTGTGCGCGCGGTCTAATTATAATGTGTCGCCGCCGTTTTCGGCTCCACACAAGGGCTCCGGTCACGTCACCGGCGAGCGTGTATCTTTTGGGGGAAGCTCTGTGAAAGCGGTGCGACGCGGGGCTGTTTGGTAGTTTTGTTTTTCCTCTTTGCTTGCGGAGGGGTGGGGGGGGACCTGCTGCTCACTCCAACTCAATTTACTGCAAAGTTTTTTTTTTCTTCCCCGGGGGGGTTTATTGTGAGCTGCGGTGTGGTGTCGGGAGGATATTCTTCTCACGGCAACTTTGTGCCTTTTTCTCCTTCTAGGTCTACGGCTTATTCGAAGGTATGCTGGAGAAACTTGAACTAGATGATGATGGTAAGTGTCCTCCTGTCCGGGGCTTTCTGTCTAATACGTGCATCGCTGTAAATCTTGGCTTAACCCTGTGTGAAGGTGATCAGGATAGCCTAGGTATTGCAGCTGGGTTGCCAGTCTCGCTTTTACTGCTCCAAACTGAGTGGATCTTTCCCAATTATCTCATGAAGATCTCAATGGAATGAGCCTTGCATTTGTTCCATGAGGCTGTATTATATCAACAGATCCCATCTATTGTTCTGAGTTTAAAAGGATATTTTGATGTACATTTATTCCTTTCAGCGTCTTATGAACACTGATGTCTCTGCTTGCTGATAAAGGGTGCAAAAAAATCAATTGTAAGCTACATTTTAGGATCAGACCTGATTAAACAAAAAGAGAAAATGTCAAAAAATTATTTGAAAATAATCATACAATATGTTTTAACACAAGGTGTTAAAAAGCAGCAAATACTGCTTTTTGATAAATCAGTATCTGATAATCAAACCACTGTTTAACGTAACAGTGTTCAAACCCTACCATCATTGAATCTACCTAAACTTTTGACATCACATGATGGTGGGAAAAATGCTTGCACATTCGAACTACGTCATCTCTTAAGGATTTTAGCTCCCGCTGTACTTCACTGCGTATTCTTTTCCACTGTTTACGTGCTTGTTGATGCCTTAAGCAGAGTGTAATTATGAGGAAGAGGGCAGCAAAGTGGCGTAAGTGGTCCATGGCTGTAATGGTTGTTTAGGTTGTCGTTCTCATCTTCTCATTACAAATTCCCTGTGAGACCTCTCCTTCCTCTGGAATAATTATCCCATTTCTTTTCATACAGCTGCTGAGCCCGAGAGTGATATTTACATGCGCTTTATGAAATCCCACAAGTGCTATGACATCATCCCAACAAGCTCTAAGTTGGTTGTGTTCGACACAGCACTTCAAGTAAGTAGTTTGTTTTGTTTTCTTGACGGTATTTGTCTCAACACACACGTTTAACTGTGGGCTTACTCGGATTCTTGGTCAAAGAGAAACATTTTACAAGGCTGTTAAACTCTAAACCGAGGATGGTCCGTCCTCTTTGATGTGTAGATCGTTAACCACTAAAGCAAATAGTTTAAATCGCTTATGCAGGTGAAGGAAAACCAACACAAAGCAGAGGTGGATTTAGTGTTCACAGCAGTGCTTATTGGCTCCTGATGAGACATCTGTGACCCGGTTTCTTCTTCTTCTAATTTAAACAATAAAATGTTTTCAGAGCCTAACTGTCTTTGACCTTTCAGCTGTAGCTAATTTTACTTGGATGATCAACTGATTTAATTAATCAATTATCTTAGATTTGTTGTTTTATTAGTTTTGTGTCGATCAGCGTACAGAATAATGGATGCTTAGTCTGGACTCTAGATGATCACATGTTGTGAGGAATAAAAAACAAAGATCATCTTCCTCTTGGTAGGTTAAGAAAGCCTTCTTCGCCTTGGTGGCCAACGGCGTACGAGCCGCTCCGCTGTGGGACACAGAGAAGCAAAGCTTTGTGGGTAAGAACCCTGGAGTCAGACAGACACCTGAAATCGTTGTCTATTACTTCTTTCTTAAATTCAGTGATTTTAAATGCATTGAAGCTGGAGTCTTACCTTGTAACTGTGCTTCAATGTGAATTTAATGTTATTCACACTCTTCTGAGACTTTGTTTAGTCTATGTATTATTGAAGGCACATTTAGTTCAAGAAAAAAAACATTTTCATTCATTTCTCTTTTCTGACATAAATTGTAATGCTTCTGCTTTTGTTTTTGCTATGGGGTCTTACCAGTGAAATGCCCTGTGCTGCTTACCAGTTTGTCAGAGCTAATGAAGTATGATGCTTTTAGTAGAAATTATTAGAGGCGTCATAAGCCATAGAGCAAGGAAACCATTCGTAGGTAGCAGAGCAAGGCAAAGCTAAAGAGAGAAGCGTTTATTGCTGACCTTCTGTGTGTTATCCGTGGTCAAAAGATGAGTTAGTGGTGGGTTGTTTTGTTGAGCTTAGCTGCAGGTCAGCTTGTGATGAATAATAAATGCAAAGTCAGTGCGAGGATAAAGAATGTGGGGAGGGTGGAGCGGGGCGGCGTTGTGTTGTTTGAACCACACCCTCATAAAGCATCTGTACTGGGCTGCACAAAGCCTGCAGGCTCTGGTGCTCTGCCTGTTTTCTGCGCTCAGTGACTTTTAATGCCTGTTTTAATGACAGGGATGCTGACAATCACAGACTTCATCATCATACTGCACAGATACTACAAGTCACCAATGGTAGGTCCATGTGACAGGTGGGGTTTGCAATATTCCATCAAAATTACTTTTATTTCTTTGTTTTTTTCTTACTTTATTTCCCCTTTTTTATTTTAGGTTCAAATTTATGAATTAGAGGAACATAAACTAGAGACTTGGAGAGGCAAGTATTCGATGATGACCTCGTAGCAGAGGCTAGAATTTAATTATTTTCTCTTTTAATCAAAAATGTACTTGCTCTACAGAAGTTTATCTTCAAGCAACATTCAAGCCGCTGGTCAACATATCACCGGATGCAAGGTACGTTTTCTGAAAGGAAAAGCTGATGTGTTGTTGCATATTTCTGTGTGTGTTTTGACTTTGCCATCAGTAACTAATTCCCATGTTTGCTGTGTTTGCAGCCTATTTGATGCTGTGTACACCCTCATCAAAAACAAAATTCACCGCCTGCCTGTCATTGACCCCGTCACAGGGAATGCACTTTATATTCTCACACACAAGAGGATCCTCAAGTTCCTCCAGCTGTTTGTGAGTCCAGCACATCACCACACATCGCTATCAGTCTGTTGCTGGATGAACGTTTAATTCTCATGGCATTTGAATCAAACTGGAAATGTAATTAGTCAGGCTATTGGCCTTCAAGGTGCTCCTGATGGCTTATCCCATTTTCGTTTGTTTGCTGCCCCCTAGTGGTTGAAGTGCAAGTTGATCGAATGTCATTACAACTCGAGATTTAAAGTGTGGATGTCCAGCATCACGTCATCGGTTGTTTGTCATTCCCAGATGTGTGAAATGCCAAAGCCAGCTTTCATGAAGCAGACTCTGGGTGAGCTTGGCATTGGATCATACCATGACATTGCGTTCATCCACCCTGACACACCCATCATCAAGGCACTCAATATCTTTGTGGAGAGACGAGTGTCTGCCCTGCCTGTGGTGGATGACTCGGGTACGATCACAAACGAACACAACTGGCACCATAGAACCTTTATGAAATGAACAATTTTGTCTTCATCTGCTCTTTTTTTCACCCCCTCTTACAGGCAAAGTTGTGGACATTTACTCCAAGTTTGATGTGATTGTAAGTGTCACGTTTCCCATTTTTAAGATTTTAGTGGCTAAACGGTTAAACTGGAAAGGGTTTTTGTCCTTTCACTTGCTTGGTGCAGAACTTGGCTGCAGAGAAGACATACAACAACCTGGACATTACAGTGACGCAGGCCCTGAAGCATCGCTCTCAGTACTTCGAAGGAGTCATGAAGTGCCATAAAATGGAAACAATGGAAACTATTGTGGACAGAATAGTCAAAGCTGAAGTGAGACAAAAGCCTGTATGGACACATAACGACTCATAAAACCTTTAGACTGATCCCAGCTTCAGCTGCAACTGTTCTTTTCTATCGCAGGTGCATCGGTTGGTGGTGGTGGACGAGCGCTCCAGTATAGAGGGCATTGTTTCCCTGTCAGACATCCTCCAGGCCCTGGTGCTCAGCCCTGCAGGTATAGATGCTCAGCACTGATAGCCACAACTTCCCTCCCGTGCTGGACCCTCAGCTCTCTTCCCCCCCCCCACATGTCCTCTAACACTGTCCCAGGTAGGAAATGCACCTGTTAGAGGAATGGCTGGACATCGCCTGTAGCTGGCTCTGAGGAGGCATGGCGCCCATCCACGTCCAGGGGAGGGCGGGGGGGTCACCAGCCCTCGGCCTCTTGTCAAATAACCCCAGGCTGCTGCTCAGCATGGCACGTGTAGAAACACACCTAACAAACTTAACATCTCGTGTGGAGCTTCATCCGTGATGATGTTCTCGGGAATAATGATAAACTCTTCTAATGTTTTCGCTGGTTCCTATCAGGACCTACTGTTGTTTCAGATGGAGACAGTGTGGCATCGCACCTTCATATTGTTGGTTGTCTTTCCCTCTCTGTCCTCACACAGTCTTGGCAGACGGTCGTTTTCTAATTGCCTAGGCTACGCTAATCAGCCATAACATTAACAGGTGACTTGGTGAATGGCTATCTTCTTTTTGTTGTTGTTTTTTTGGCTCTCCCCAAGGACATGGTGCTCGTGTTTATTAGAGAGTGGTGAGCGAACAGCAAGTCCTTGAATTTTATAAATAAGGATAAAATGAGTTGCTAAGAGCTGAATTGTGATGAAGGAATGATTCAGAGCCCCTGGAAAACAGAAGGCTTGTTGCAGTGTTCCCAAGTCAGATGCCCTGGTGCAAATAATGAATTCATGTTTACCAGTGGTTTGGAGACATGATAGCAGAATGCACCTTAAAGGGAGACAGGCAACAGGACACTCTGGAAACGGTAAATGTCTTTTTCTACAGGGCTTCTTTGGGATAATACCTTCTATAAGCACAGTGCTGCTGAACACAATCCCGAAATATAGGCTTTAGAAAAGGAGACGAGTTCCGGTGTTGACATTGTTGATATCTAATCTTTAACCCTGGATCTGCTGAAGCTGCAAGAAAGCCGGGAAATGGGAGGGAAATGCAGATTACTGGGCAGGTGGATATAGTGTTGACGCTGATGGAAACGCAGTGTTTTCATTTGGTCTGAATCAGAAGAGGGGCCATTGCAGCTTTTTGGTCTTCACATGCAGTAGAGTGACTGCAGCTTTAGGTTTCCCCCTTGTTCATGTGGCTGTAAATCTAACTGCTGAACCTGTTCATTAAGTGTCGCTGTGCAGATGCTGGTTGGCTTGTCCCGGATGCGGCTGCCTTTTGCTCGTGGCAAGCCCTTCCTAATTGTGCTGTATGTCTGGTATTGGTGTGCTCGATGGCAAATAACCAGATTGAGAAACTATTGTCAATTTAAGCATTTTAGACTGCAGTGTGTTTGCATTCTAACCCCATCAGATCAGAGCATGTTGCATAGGCAGCTTATTCAGAAATTCTACCCCGACTTTATCAACATGTTTCCATCACCTTTATCTGTTCATTGATTCAACATCAGCCAACCAAGACTGGTATTCCTAGCTACTAAGTCCAAACAAAGTCCTGCTGTACAGCTGCAAAGTAATTCAAATATGATTTTTTATTTTAATAGGAGCTGAATTTTAAAATTTTAAAAATAAGGTAAATAAGGTCAGGTAAATGTGTTATTTGGCCCTCCACGTTCAGGAGCCCAAAAAGTGAAACAATAAGGTGATGAATTCTCATAAACATATGTCAACACATTGATCCAAGTCTTGCTACAACGTGTAAAAGCGCTGAACAAATGCAAACTAATTCCAGTCATCTATTTAAGACCGTACAAAATACATGAGCAAAACACAGGGCCGTCTCAGTCTTGCCCTCAGCATCCTTCAGTGAAAACGAAACAACTCAAGAATCAATAAGATGACAGATCCAGACTTCAGATCAAGAGGTTTTATACAAGCAAGGAACAGTATGAGAGATTAAGAAGAATAAAAAAGGGGGGGTGCATGACTAACAGTATATATTTATGTTATTTGAGACCTGGTGGGAGAGGGGGAAAAAACACAAAAAAACAAACAAAAGAAACCGGATATTGGCACTCGCAAACCAGGAGATTATTATAACCCTAACCTTTACAAAATCTGGCCACACAGACTTTAGGTATTTAACCCATTTTCCCCAAAGACTAAAAATATTTTTCTTAAACCGGATTGAGAAGGAGATTGCTTCCTTTATATATTTCTCATTTACGATATCTATCCAGTCAGAAACCGTATGAGACTCTGGAAGTATCCAACGTCTGGTAAGTGCTTTTTTGCAAGCTAGGGAAAAAATAGCAAGTAAGTACCGATCCACCTGTCTGGTCAGGAAATCCCCAAAAAGAAGAAGAAGACAGCAGCTGAATCTCCTCATGTTTCTGGGCTACTGTAGATGTTACTACAGTGACTGAAAGTCCATGGGTGGCCATGTCTCTTGTGGCTTCTGCTGCATCCTGATGGACAGACTCCGTAACAGTAGAGCACCTGTGTCTGTGCTGGGTACGTGTCTGAAACCTGATGCCTTCCTTCCTCAGTACTTTAGTTTGCCTCAGCCGACTCGTTACGTTTTTTAAGCACTTTGGCAGGAAAGTCATTGTCCACAAAAAATCCACTTTCATCACAGAATATTTCTTTTTTTTTTGCCAAGCTTTTCTGAGGACCACTTCTTTAGTACCGTAGCTCTCAAACTTTACCACAATGAATGGAGCTTCCCCGCCACATTGTCCGGCTTCCGACTTCCAATTTCCAGGTCCCGCTGCTGTTTTTTAACAAGCTGTCCAGAAAAAATCAGCCCCCTCCTTATCGTCTGGAATCCCATAGATCCGAGCACGCTCCTCCTGGTTTAGTTTGTTAGTTTCCAGCATATCTTGGCGGTGGGTCATCTTCTTAATTGGCGAGGATGCTGCTGGACGTACCGTTTCTGTTTGGTCTGTTCTTCCCTCCCCCTCGTCCAGTCTTTTGCTAAAGCCATATTTTGCTTGTTTGATGTCAGACAGTTGCATGTTGCTGTCTCTTCTAAAATCATGTAGCTCGTTCAGAATAATTGGCAGGCTAGCTCAGGTGGGCCTTCGCAACGGGATGTTAACTCAGCAGTGTAGCCGTGGTCACCTTGTTTCCAAGTTAACTCGTCCTCCTCCAAATTGATGGTTTTCCTAGGACTTTCAGCAAAAAACCTTTGAGAGCTTGCTAGTTTAGGCAGCTATATGCCCGTTAGCGTAACCGGAAACATGCAAGGTTTTTTTTGTTTCATTTTTATGTTTAGCTGTTCAAGCACAGCCTTTTTACTTAGTTCGATCTTTACATCTGAATTTGTGGGTAGGATGCCTTTCACAAACGATTAAACCATCTGCAAATCGTAAGCAGCGTTAGATAGAGGCTCACAAAATGGATCAGGCCGCTCTCAGAGGGTGGCCAGACAATTCTAAACCCGTTCCATTTGACAATCCTGTCTCCAGACCTGATATCAGGTCTACGGGACGTGGCTGAGAAAAGTTCCCCCTCTGTACTTCTGATGGTAGTCTGGCCTATATAGAGCCCCCTGAACATCTACCGGTTCAACTACAGCATGTTAATCCTGGGCCTCCACCTCTGTCCTCCTCAGATGCCTGTAAGGAAGAGAGCCTGACCGACTGAGAGCGCTGCATGGTCTGACGTGGTGGGAGTCGATCAGCAGGAACGGTTAAGACGGCGAGTGTGAGGCTGAGTGGAGCCACTCTGCAGCTCCCAGAGGCGCCTGCCACCAGAGCACCACCTCGGCCTCCAGAGCACGGCGGCCGAGCGAACAGGAGCTCCGCACTGAGGACAGATTTCCGTTCTTCATTTTCTGCCTGAACACTGATCAAACGCTCAAACATTACATTATAAAATCAAGTAAAAGTACACTCTAAAGCATTAGTAACCTCCAGCCTCAGCGTTGCAGCGGCCGTCAGCTGAATGAATGACGCCTCCAGGTGAGTCCTCACCGGTCCAGCAGATTCGATTTGGCCTCCCAGCTATGCTCCACGTACAGCGGTCAGGTAGCTGACCGCAGCCCGCAAACAGAAGGCTTTCCAGGACCACAGTGGAGGGATCAGTCTTTATTTGTGCCTTGTCTCCTGCCACGGCAGATGCGGTCCTGATCTCCGATTTGTGGAACATCAACACACAGCAACTTATAGCGTTTGCTCCCGCGACCCTCTTTTTTCTTTTTCCTGCATTCTTTAATCAGAAGCCGGGATGTCCGCTGTGTCCCAACCGAAGATCGATCAGAGCTCTGAAGAGAGGGAACATTATGAAAGGTTCTGTTTGCTCAGAGCAGCCGTGGAGTGTTTCCTCCTTCAGAATGCATTTACAGATTTTACATTTGTTGTCAGTTTTTTTTTCTTGTCAGATGATTTTGATGCTCGGTTACATGTGAAGCGGCTAGTTGAATCTCATCTGTAGTTCGCCAGGACTCAACTCGTTTCACAGAAAGCTTTATTTTTATGAATGGGTCACCATGCTTAAAGAGACTGCGGTTTCAGTTTTATTTTTGTAAATATACTGTGGCAATATGTCTAGTTCGGAGAAACTTTGTATCAGATCAACGTGTACTGTAAATGTGCAAGCATGACAAACTACACTTCAGCAGAATGAATGTTCTTTACTTTTTCTATTTTTCTGGCTGCAGAAAAATAAACGGACACTGAATGTAGTTTGTTTTGGTTTTTTTCTCTTGGCTCCTCTGGGGGGGATTTGAGGAACCTGCCCTCTGATCCAGAGTCTTTGCAGAGCACAATCAGTGACCCTACATTTGTCTGTCTGGTATCCTTAAGAAATTTCCACCCTACTGACAATAACATGAAGTACACCATGTAAGTCCAGAAATAGAGAATAAAAGGTATTTAAGTAGTTTATTAAAGAGCTTTACCATTCAATTCATTAGATTTGAAAAACTAAGAAGTACATGTGGAATAAATACCTGTGAAATAAAACCACAGAATTAACTAAATTTATCGGAATTCGAGGGTCCTCCAAAGATATGTAATTTATTGATGTTGGCATTACAATATATTTAATTCACATGGTGGGATTTGATAGAAATGACGCTGAATGTATATTTTCTCATTCCCACCTTTTTAATTTGGGTGTAAACAATGGGGACAAATGGATCCCCGCTTGCCCTCCCAGGCGGTCATTATGCTTCAAGCAGCTGGATGGTGTCTTGGTAACACTATCCTTTTTGGAACAGTAGGACTGTGGCAAAGTAAAGGTGTATGATTTAGCCCTTGTCTAAGAGACTGTTCCCCCAAACAAACATTTAGTGATAAATGGCATGTTGATTCTGCTCTCTGCTATCATGTTCAAGGACTCATCTGTGTCTTTGAGGTACAAATACCCCTTTTGACCAGAGGCCTTTTTAACTGAGTCACTAAAAGCTAGTCTAAATGAGACAGAATAA